GAAAATTAAACAGTATCGACAAAATGTTTTAGATTTTTAGCAACTCTACAGTAGCCGGAATACAGCATTATCAGAAAACCAGTAAATTATTAGAAAACGCTAATGGAACTATTTTGTTCACAAAAAGATTTAACGATCTTTTTGATACTATGAACAGGAGACGCTCTTATGAAGGTATTCGGTTGGGGAGTGCAGATTTTCAGGTATTACAAGATGACTATTATTATTATGGTCGGTGTTTCTTGTGAGAACTCAGGTCTAGCCTGGTTAACTAATCGCACGGATTAAAATCAAGTAACGATTAGTATCTGTGTCTGTGTCTGGTGAAGTTATGTAGGGTTCTAAAGAAAAATAAAATAAATATTCGCACACTCACATTGGAAATCTAGGGATAGTATGTAATTCATACTTACCAACATAGCTATTAATGGCCACAATAGTCAACGCTATCAGGAAAGAAGAAAACAAAACAAAAATATCATTATAATTTTATTATATTATATTATTATTATTATTATCCGTCACTTTGAAGGTATTACAAGACAATTTAAATTTCTTGAATTTTTGGGAAGGAATGCTTCTGGATGGCGCTATTACAGAAACTCAGTTCTTAACTAGATCTACCGGTGAAGGCTTTAGGGCTTCAATCTTATCAACCATAGATTTGAGCAACTATTTATTGTCTCAGTGCAACTTTAAATACGTACTCACTAGTAAACTTAAACAGGATCCACTAGAGGTACTATGATATGCATGTTTCTTTTTGATCTTTAAAGGACTAGAATATATTTTTATTTTTTCCTTGCCAATTTTCGGTGTACCTTGGAGTATATGCAGATTTACGATATTAATTTCATACCAAATAAATTACTAATTTGTCATCACAGTGAATAATAATATTCACCGTCCTTATCACTTTCATATCGTAGAAAAGAGTACACTACTCTAGGGTCACCGTGGCTAGGGTGTAGCCTCAGATGCATGTAGTTTTTTACATTTCTGTTTTGTTAGCACGGATTATTCTCCTTGGCTTGTAGAAAACCTTTGGGCATGTTAAAATGTTATCTAATGCATGTCGTAATTCAATTGTAAATGCTCACGCTTCGTAATTCATCTACTTTTATACACTTTCAGAGATTCTTTGGATTGATAAGACAAGCTGGATGTTCAAATGACCATCCAACCTTCACAGATTTTCTGCAACTCTACCGGATGCTTTCAGTTTACAAGTTGCTTAAACCACCTGTTATGTATTTGGCGGGAGTGCGCGCGCGTTAAGAGAGTGGTGGGTGTGCTTAGATATGCTAGTGTTAGTTCTTGCTTAGATATGGTAGTAGAATGTAGTCTGTTACAATAAAGTCGAGCTAGAGTAGTTGAAGCAAATACCTTAATATATTAATACAGGAAACTCGCTACTATTTGCATTTGCGTACGTGTGACACGTGAATGAGCGCCATCTTTACGGCGCGGTGTGCAATGACTAATGAATAAGAAGAGAATTATTTATATTCCCAAGAGTATTTAACATCATAGGGGTATGATATTATCAAATACCATCATATTATCAGTTTATCCATAAGAATTTTGCAAAATAATCTGTAAAAAATAATAAATACCCTAAAAAAAGCGAGTTAATATTCATCTGCTCATTTCTGTAATGGTACCTTATGGTAGATAATTTCTTTGCCTTTTCAGGTTTCTAATAAGGTAAGGTGGGGTAAGTTTATTTGGAGGAAGTGAATAATGAAGAAATAATACGAAAACCATGCGAATACTAGAGGTTTCATTAAACTACTAAAGGAAGTCTCTCAGCTAACTTTTAGTGTAGCAGTACCTACAGTTAAATCTTTATTTTGCCTTAAGAGCTTATATATTTTGTAAACAACCTGTTTATGTTTTTAAAAGTCTTTCCTTTGTGTTCTTAAAAAGTTCGTACAATCGGTAACACTTTGCTGAACAATAATGAAGTGCTAGAGCAAAATTCTTCTGCAATTCTGAGTATCTACGACCTCTTGGTTTACATTCAACATTGTCCAATGGGGTCATTATAGACTACTAGGTCTTAACTTCTTAAGTTCGGATTTCAGTTCTTCATTCTGTTTTTGAAGTATATCTGCTTTTATATTTTTGCAACAAACGTAACTTTTTTGCAATAGTATTCGGGGAATCGCACATGTTTCCTTTTCTTTTCTTGGGCTCAGAATGGCATTCAGCAACAGTTTGTGGTATACGGTCTTCCATAACATCTGCCTCGAGGTTTTCATTTTGAGGTAACTTACGTTTGAAAGGACCTTTTCTTGTCTTTAATTGAACCCCGTGCAACTTTATACTTGGAATGGCACCCTTAATCAACCTATTCCAAACAAATACACTAATGAGTAAATAAATTCAGAACTACACTTATGTAAATCTCACCCTTGACTAAACAATCGTGTATTTCTGAAATCGCTTTCAACAAAATGATCAGAACACACTATATAGCTTCTGTTTAAACATTCAATAGTATAAAGCTAGGCCCTACATAACATAAACTTCAGAGAAAATTTTGTGGAAAATATAAAAACTTACAAATTTGGGTATAATGTGGTGGTATTGGACCAGCATGTAGTTGCAGAGCGCAAGCGTTTTTTCGGTCAGCGAGGCAGACTTTCTGCGCAGATGATAAATTACACTTGTAAAACCCGTGCCTTACTGAACACACGATTTATAAATAAAGTTATTTTGTGAATTAAAACTTTATAGTGGTGACCCCGACGTGATTTATTGTTGGAATTACACGAACCAAATTCTGAATTTAATCAAATATAAATCAAAACATTACGGGTTTTAAAATCAACACTATTTTCGTTCTCGTCCTAAGGTCGTGGTAGGTGAGAATCGTAACGTGTTTTCATAAACGAGTGTAAAAAAGTGCATTATACCTACCGGCATCGAAACATAGCCGCCCTTTGTCAAGCTTTTACGCGTAAGTACAAGGACAATTCAAATAATCAGTGTTGCAGTTTATTTAATGCGTTTTTATCTACATTCACTTTCGCACGCGAGCCGGCATACGCCATTGATTTATTTTACTCGATACGAATGATCATATGAACGCGTCCAGTGGCGTATCTCGAGTGAAAATCGTATCTCGTTTTTTTCTCACCCTTTTGAATCGAGATCGCACACGAACGTTACGTGCTTATTTTCAAACGACAGTGCGAAAAATTAAATTTATTCTACGGAGGAATTTGAATTAAAAAGTGGTATTCAACCCGTATTGTAAAATCCGTGCCGTTTTTTCGCACGCAGTCTCACCACGGTGTATTTTCGTGAACTTTGTATCTAGTACATTCCCTACCTAATTACACGAACTAACAGACTTTTCCGAGAAACTTTTATAACCTTTCGGAATAAACATTTTGTGTTTTTTTTACTGCGCGCACCACTCCATCGCATAAAATGGACCCATCACTGGCTGCCCAACTCGAACAACAGCGACCAGTTACGCGCCAGGCAGTGCGTGAAGGCATCGCACCTGCACCAACGCAAATGTTTCAACTGTTTACCTCTCCACCTTCCGTTACTCCACCGTCCTTGGTCACAGACACTGATGATGCAACAAAAAATGTCATCTCGGAGACAGAAGTCGGAATTCCATATGAAGCGGCAACATACAGGAGAGGTGGTGATCCACCCGTGACGCCTGAAGGGTTACCACCCCCGTCTACAAATATTGGCAGTGTACCAGTAGACGAGTTTCTACCAACCAGCTCGCATATTACCGATGCACCTACAGGTACTCATTTTAATTACGATATTGGTATATTAACTAGCCAGCTGCATAACCTGAGTAAGACGATTGCTGATATTCAGCATACACTTTCTAAGCAACAGGCTAACCAAGAAAACTTAACTGCTATTTTACTAAACATGCAGCAATCCCAAAATAAACCAACCCCTAGTCTAGCCGAATCAGTCCAAAGTGGTACGACACCTACCGTCTCCAGCTCGAGCCATGTGCTACCGATAACCACTACGGTGACATCCTTCACCGCCGAACGTGCTGCCAGGGAAACCAGTTTGTCATTAACTTCAATGCGTACTACAGTCAGCCAACCTTCGGCAGCTGAATTGTCTTTTCCGTCAACGGCACTTCAGTCAACAGTACACACATGGTCGCACATGACGTCACCGAAATTGCACCCACACGCCTTATTGCCACCTGCACCAAAGCCGGTAACAACCCAAGTACCCACGTCATACACGCCATCGTACTACGCCTCAGAGCAACCACAATACATGCTACCAATGCAGCCGAAACCGAATATTTGGTCACGAATTGACAACATCCCGCGTTTAAGTAGGACATCTATGCGGCATTCATTCTATATTTTAGAACAATGGATGCAGGCTAACGGAATTATCGCCGACACCGATAGATACCAAACCGTCAGACTAATATTGGATCAAGAGATGAACGCATTGATCACCGGTGTAACCGAAGTACCCGGACGAAAATATGACTCCATAAAAGAAGTCCTCCTATTAAACTACGAGGCAACCAGCGAAGAAAAGCTCCGTTCCTTACTTTCTGACATCACCCTAGACGGCCACACAGCAAAAGCCTTGCAAGCAGGGGCGGATTTATGGGGGGGGCTAGAGGGGCTGAAGCCCCCCCCCCGAAGAAGTTTTTCTGTTACCAATACAGCCGGCATCGTCTTCGCTTCGTTCAGATCTTTCGCTTGGCGATATTGCAATTTTGTCGGACCCGCCAGCGCCTACGCGTCGGCAGTAATTATTGCTTTATTCTTTTATCTTTATGCATTCCTGGAATTTGAATAGCTAAGCTAGTGGATTTGCGACACGGCACACTGATACGTGACGGAAAGCAAAATACGAGCATTAAAGAAGGATGGGGAGAGTGGTTGATAAACAAATGCCCAGAAAGCCGAAAACTGGGAACAGTTTCAATGCTGACTGCGATTTACACTTACACCAGAACCAGTTGGAATTTTGCATTGGGAGTGTTGTGTTGTGTTGTGTTTATGTTGCGTTAAAAAATGAAGCGAACTATTTTAGATTTTTTTAAATCTACACCTGTCGCCGTCGCCGAACCTCAAGCTGACGCAAAAAAATGCAAAGTGTCCACATTTTCTTGTCAACCAGCCCCGTCTAATCAACCATTGATTGCACAGGTAGGCACCTAGGATACAATTTTTCTTTAATTATTAGTGGATTCGGGTAACGTAATAGTTGGGAACTCAAGTTATTTTGCTTCCAAAACAGATGTAAATCGTTTTGACCTGTGCATGAGTAAGGTGTAATTGCTGAAATGCAATTTAAAGTCCTGTTGCGAAAGGTTTTTCAATCGGGTAATTTTACTTTCGGAATTCCAGGAAAGGGAATTTGATCGCAGCATCACTGGTAGCCTTCGACTATTTGACATAGGATTTGCAGTTGGGAAAATCTTGAGTGACGGGGAAAAACTGAAATTTTTAAGCGAAACATGGAATCCTGATAGTTCGTACGTGTTTCCGTCTCACTTTGAAGGCAAGCAAAAACGAAAATTCAAGATTGAGTGGCTAAGCCAGTTCAAATGGTTAGCCTACAGCGAACAAGAAAAAGGAGCGTTTTGCAAAATGTGCGTTTTATTTGCACCTTCTGTGGCAGGAGTTGGTAATCATCAGGTAACTGAAAAAACTTAATCAACTATGAGCATATAAATCACTTCCTCAAAATTTTTGTAGGCTTTGAAAACTTTGGTGAAGGAGCCTCTTTCAAAATACAAAAAAGCTCTTGAAGTATTTAACCATCATAAGGACACGAGCTACCACGCATTCTCGGTAGAAAAAGCTTCTAATTTCAATAAAATAGTGAGTTATGAAGGCTCTTTAAGCATTGCAGCCCAGCTTGATAAACAAAAAGCAGCGATTATAGAAGCCAACAGAAGGCGTCTTAAACCCATTGTCAAGACTGTTATATTTTGTGCGCACAATAATCTGCCATTGAGGGGTCACAGAGATGACGGTGAATTACGGTGCTCAACTGATTCAACCAAGATAGTTGGTACCAGTCAAGGAGTTTTCAAAAATCTGCTGTCGTTTCGTATCGATGCGGGAGATGAAGATCTCAGGTTTCATTTAGAAACATCAAAAAAAAATTGCACGATGATCAGCAAAACTATCCAGAATGAAATTATTGAGGCGCTTGGTGATGTTGTGAAGAAAAGCATTGTGGCCGATGTGAAAAAATCTAAGTTTTATTCCATTCTTTGCGATGAAACGACTGACATAAGCACCAAAGAGCAAATGACCTTATGCGTAAGATACGTTGATACTGGAAATTAGTGTTGAAGGAAGAGTTTTTGGGTTTTGTGGAAGTGAAGTCGACAACTGGACGTGATCTTAAAGAGGTTATATGTGCCGAAATAACGAAATTGGGACTGTCTATCGAAAATCTTCGCGGCCAAGGTTATGATGGTGGTAGTAACATGTCGGGAAAGTTTAATGGTGTTCAAGCTCTCATCAAATCAGAGCAGCCGTTAGCTTTATATACACACTGTTTCAGTCATTCGCTGAATCTGTGTATATCGAAGAGCTGCGAAATCCCTGCCATCAGGAACATGATGGGAATACTGGGCTCCGTATCAACTTTTCTGTCAGCGTCTGCTAAGCGCACTGCTTTGTTGGAAAAAACCATCCAGGAATCTGATCTAAAGGACACACGAAAACGCAAGTTGAAAGCACTTTGTAGTACTCGATGGGTAGAAAGACACGAGAGTGTTCTCACATTTCAGCAACTCTTTCAACCCATTGTAGATACCCTAGAGCAGTTGGAAAATGATCATGACCCGAATACTTCAAGCAAAGCAGCAATGTTTAGCTCTTCATTAAAACGAAGTGATTTCATAGTCTCAATGGGAGTTGCCGCCTACTGCCTGTCTTTTACACTGAACCTGAGTAAGAACCTACAGAGTGTTGATCAAGATCTTTCAACTGCTCTGTCTCACGTTGATGATGTTAAATCAGTACTTCGAGGTATTAGGGAACGAAGTGATGAGGAATTCAAATCACTGTATTTACAGGCAAACAAGTTAGCCAGTGAAGTAGGCGCGACCATTTCTATGCCAAGGACATGCAATCGGCAGACTCATAGGAGCAATATTGGTGCGAATGCAGAGGATTATTACAGAGCTGCTATTTTTGTACCGTTTGTAGACCATGTGATCACCCAACTTCGAGACCGATTTGATGGAATCTGCAGCGTGATTTCTCTTGAAGGCCTGATTCCCGAATATCTCAGTAAATATGACGATATGGCAATATTAAAAGCCGCTGAGTTCTACGATCAAGATATGCCAGGATCAATGTTAGAACTGACCTCTGAATTGAAAATGTGGAGGCAGAAATGGCAAGGACAACAAACGGTGCCGAAAACTGCCATCGAAGCTCTAAAAGAATGCGAAGAAATGTTTTTCCCAAATATAAGAGTACTACTTCAGATATTTCTAGTTTTACCTGTAACAACAGCAACCGCGGAAAGGAGTTTTTCGGTTTTAAGAAGACTCAAAACATACCTGCGAAGTACCATGACTGAAGGGAGGTTGAATGGATTAGCCCTCGCGAATATTAATTCGTCACGTCAAATAGATGTTGAGGAAGTCATCAGTACTTTTTGTAAAATGAAACCCCGACGATTAGAAATGTCCAGTTGGGATTGATATTACTCATTTTGTTTTGTAGTTCATACGAGATAATGTAACGTTACTAATGTACAATAAATACTAAAACTTATTCAATGGTGAAGGAAAATTTCAAGCCCCCCCCACGACCTCGTCCTAGATCCGCCACTGCTTGCAAGCCCGGATGCTCGAGCTCAATGGGGGACAGGAAACCGAAATGCTGCGAATGCTATTTTTAGAACGCCTCGATCCTTTCGTCAGCGCCATGGTTCAGAGCAAAAAACGCGACCGACCACGAGAAAACCCAATGACATTGATTGAGATGGCTACTGAAGCTGATCAAATCATGGGTACTTTCAAACGGTCCAATAAAATAAGTGTGGTAGAACATAACAGCAATTCCCGAAGAGACAGCATGCAAGAAAAAATCGACCAGTTGGAGAAGGAACTAGCCGATCTGCGCGCGCAGCAGCGACGCAAATCACAGAGTCGTGGCCGAAGTCCTGACCGACGTGGGCGCAGTCCCACACCGACCCGACACGAACGTCGAGATTCATCCGCCAAACCTTTCATTTGCGAATACCACGAAAAGTACGGTAAGGGAAAGCACAAAAATAAGAAATGCGTAAGAGGTTGTAGCCTCCGAGCCGAATGGTTCGCCGCTCGCCGCACCACCCATGAGCGAGCAGACCGATCGCAATCTGGCGAACGAACCACTTCGTCAAAAAACTAATAGCTGCTGATTCAATGGACCCGTCACTATCCCTGAATCAGCAACAAATGGTATCCGTTTTCCCCCCACTTAGCGGTGACAACGAGGACCAGCTGTCCCACCAAATAAACTCACACCAAACCGTTCCATCATCAGAACACCACACGCCACACCTAAGATTGTCTATTACTGATTTAAACAACGGCATAGATTTTGTAATAGATACTGGAGCGACCACTAGTCTCCTGCCAAATCTTACCAACAGAACCTTCGTTGCTCCATCGACACTAGTAGCAGCAAACAACACTCCAATAAGTACGTACGGCACCCGCCAACTGCAATTATCTTTGGGATTGCAACGTCAATTCACTTGGACATTCGTGGTAGCCGACACCAATGAAGCACTTCTTGGCGCCGATTTCCTTTCATATTACAATCTGATCGTAGACGTGAGAAGAAAACGCCTCATAGATGGAAATGTTAACAGCACGGTACATAACGAATCCATTGCATTCAATATTTCCACCGTTACAGTCCATGAGATGCCAGAACCTTTCGCTTCAATCATCAAGGAATTCAAAACAGTCGACAAAATTGGTAAAACCAATCTTCTTCCATGTTCCAGAGCCATACATTACATTCAAACCACTGGTCCGCCAATATATTCCAAGGCACGACAACTGTCAAAGGAGAAGCTAGACGCCGCTAAAGCGGAATTTGAACACTTGGTGACACTCGGAGTAATTCAACCTTCAACGTCCCCTTGGGCCAGCCCTTTACACATGGTAAAGAAATCCGACGGAACCTGGCGCCCTTGTGGTGATTTTCGTTTATTAAACGCCGTAACCGTTAAGGATAGATACCCGCTACCTTTCATATCGGATGTCACAAGTTTCCTTAGCGGCAAAAAGATATTTTCCAAAGTGGATCTTCAGAGAGCCTACCACCAGGTACCAGTGAACCCTGAAGATATACCAAAAACCGCCGTCATTACGCCGTTTGGTCTATTCGAATACCTCCGGATGCCATTCGGTCTTTGTAACGCGGCCCAGACCATGCAACGACTCGTCAATACTGTGTTTACAGGCGTTAACTTCGTTTTCGTTTATATTGACGACATTTTGATTGCATCCGACAACTATCAAGAACACATTGAGCATGTACGTACCGTATTCAGTCTCCTGATGCAAAACAACTTGACCGTCAACATAAGTAAATGCGAGTTTGGGACGACCGAGTTAGATTTCCTTGGTCATCGGATTACCCCATCTGGCTACCAGCCACTTCCCAAGAAGGTCGAGGCCATATTGAAGTTGTCACAACCCAAGACGGCAAAAGAATTGAAAACATTCCTTGCGTCACTCAACTTTTACAGGCGATTCCTACCGCACGCTGTGCAGTTCCAAAAGAAATTGACCACGTTGATTCCCGGAAACAAAAAGAACGACAAAACTCTTGTAGAGTGGACCGAAGATTCTGTAACCGCTTTCGAATCTTGCAGAAAGCAAATTGCCGAAGCAGCAAACCTAGCATACCCTGTCAAAAACGCCAAGTTATCGCTATATACAGACGCTTCCGACTTTTGTGCTGGAGCAGCCCTTCATCAACTCGTCGGCAACGAGTTACAACCACTTGGATTTTACAGTCAAGCGTTCACCGAAACGCAACGTCGTTACTCCGCATATGATCGCGAACTTACCGCTATCTATCAAGCGATTCAACATTTTAGACACTTGCTAGAAGGACGTCAGTTTACGATACATACTGATCAAAAACCTCTGATTTGGGCTTTCAAACCGAAAAAGACGTCGTCAACAGACAAAAAGGAAAATCCTCGCCGAAGTCGCCAACTAGATTTCATCAGTCAATTTTCAACCGATATCCAGCATATCTCTGGTAAAGATAACATCATTGCCGACATGCTATCCCGCATATCTGCCGTCCAATCAGAATCAATTAATTATCAAGAATTCGCCGAACAACAAACAACTGCTCCAGAGTTACTCGAATTTCTTCAGCCATCAAACAACTCTTCACTGGAACTCAAACAGATCGTTATACCAAACTCAGACATCAAGGTTTGGGCTGATGTGTCAACGCCACGAGTACGACCATTTGTACCTAAACTGCAACGCAAAAAGGTCATCATTCAGCTCCACAAGTTGTCACATCCAGGTATTAGAGCTACCACAAGGTTAGTTCGTAGTCGTTTTGTTTGGCCTACGATGGCCGAAGACATCAAAAACGTCGTAAAGGCATGTCTCAATTGTCAAACATCCAAAATTACTCGGCACACTCGCTCACCATTTGGTTCGTATGAACTACCAAGCTGTAGGTTCGAACATATTAACATTGATTTAGTAAAGATGTCAAAATGCGGCGATTACCAATATTGTCTTACCATCATCGACAGATTCACTAGATGGCCAGAGGCAATCCCTCTACAGGATCAAACCTCAGAGACTGTCGCCAACGCCTTAATACAACACTGGATCTCGCGTTTTGGAGTTCCGGTCAGGATAACTACAGACCAAGGCCGCCAATTCGATTGTGCACTGTTCGCCCAGTTGAACCAGTTGTTAGGCACCGAACACATTAAAACAACAGCTTACCATCCACAGTCCAATGGTATTATCGAACGATACCACCGTTCACTGAAAACCTCCATCATGGCACAAAACCATGACAATTGGGTTGCAAGACTGCCCATTATCCTTTTAGGACACCGTTCCACCTACAAGGAAGACTTAGCTGCCACACCAGCTGAACTCACCTATGGTTGTTCCCTTAGACTTCCTGGAGAATTTCTCCACGATACCAAATCGCAGCCACAAGAAGAATTTGTAAAACAATTGCGAGAACACTTTCGTCAAATTAGACCAACACCCACATCCAACCATACCAACGAACATCCATTCGTTCATAAGGATTTAAACAATTCATCCCATGTCTTTATAAGAGTCGACCGGGTTAAACCAACATTAACTCGACCATATGAAGGCCCATATCAAATCGTCAAACGAGGTGACAAATTCTACAAACTTTCTGTCAACGGCAAACCAGTCAATGTTTCGATTGATCGTCTCAAGCCCGCTTACCTACCAAGCGAAGAGGAACATCGCCATGGGAACCCATACATACCTGATACCATTTTGAACCAGCCGACAGCCACTCCACCTGTACAAGTACGTCATCCACCGACACTGCAGCCACCAACTCACTCAAAGACACCAGAACTTAAGTCAGCACTCAAACAAACCACAACCACCAATCCCGACACAACTACCCGAGCAGGAAGAAGAGTAAGATTTCCTCGTCATTTGTCGGAATACTCACAAATCTAGGGGGGCTATGTGGTGGTATTGGACCAGCATGTAGTTGCAGAGCGCAAGCGTTTTTCGGTCAGCGAGGCAGACTTTCTGCGCAGATGATAAATTACACTTGTAAAACCCGTGCCTTACTGAACACACGATTTATAAATAAAGTTATTTTGTGAATTAAAACTTTATATATACAATAAAGTTACTTACACTTCTGTATTTAAAGGAAATCGAAAGAATGCTTTTGAACAATTTTTCACAGTGGCATTGCAACAACCATACACAGCACAGACCCCACCAGACATGCTGTTTTACGACTTTTTCTCTCCAAAAAGCCAAATCAAAAGTTGCAAAAATTTCAAATCAAATATGACATTTGATTGTGAACACACCCTACCGCACGGTGGCGCTGCAGTCACTTGCGACAGGTTGTCAACGTGAGTTTCCTGTATTATTATACAGTGTGAGCAACAATGATTGAAGCGTGCGTCATCACCGCTTGTTCCTATTAATATCAAAACTACCTTCTTTGTATGGAGTTGTATACGAAAATGACGTTCTGCGCTGTCACAGTGACGTGCGTCTATTCGTATCTTGTATCAAATCAGCATATGCTATGAGCGGCACATTGCCAATTTAGCTGAAGCGGCACGCTTCAATCTTTGTTGCTCACTCTGTATTAAAGTATTTGGTTGAAGTAATACAGAGTATTATTCAATCGCGACACGTGGTTGTGTTTCCCGGACAACACAACAATTGGCGACGAGAGGGGATCACGGTAAATCGGAATAAATGGCGGGTTTTCGTGGTTTACCAGAATTCGACCCAACGGGATCGATTACGTGGGATGTGTACGCCGAGCGTTTACATTTCTGTTTGGAAGCAAGCGATATCGAGGAGGATTCTAAGAAGAGAGCCGTATTGTTAAGTGCTTGTGGTCATGCCACATATGAAATAGTAAGATCGCTTTGCGCGCCAAAAAAACCGGGGGAAGTTGAATACAAGGAGTTGGTAAAATTACTAACATCACATTTTGCACCGGCACCGTCCAAAATTGTGCAGCGTTTCCTGTTCAACAAGCGGGATCAGCAAGTCGGCGAGAAATTCTCCAGCTATTTGGCGGAATTGAGAAAGTTAGCAGACACGTGCAGTTTCCACGAGGATTCACGGGATGAAATGCTTCGTGACAGGATTGTGTGCGGGGTCAGGGACGAAGCGCTGCAACGTCGCTTATTAGCGGAAAGCGACTTGACCTTGCAGAAAGCTGTCGATGCCGCGATTGCAGCGGAAACGGCTGGCGTAAATTTAAACGAATTACGAGGGTCAATCACCGGAGGCGGCGATACTTCGAAATCGGCGAATGCAGTTACAGGAAAACGGAATGCTAATTATAGCACAAACAAAAGAGACAACGCGGCCGCAACAATGAAACCCTGTTTTAGGTGCGGTGACCTTCACAAACCGGACGTTTGCAGATGCAAAGAAGTGGTTTGCAGGTTTTGCAAGAAAAAGGGCCACATCGAGCGAGTTTGTTTGGCGAAGGCTAAAAATAAGACGCCGCAACGCAGAACAATGGTTAATCAAGTGGGCAACACCGACGAAGATAGCTACGGGCTCGGGGAACTATTCAACGTCAACATGAACGACCGCGGGAAAGCAAATCTGTTTAAGGTTAACATTAACATAAACGGAGAATTGTGCGAATTCGAGGTAGATAGTGGCGCCAGTGACACAATTATGTCGTTACAAACTTTTAATCGACTTTGGCCAATTAATAAACCGGAAATGCGTCCGTGTGAAACTACTTTTCTAGATTTTTCCATGGCAACCGTGGAAACGGCGGGAGTTTGTGACGTGCTGGTGACATTTAAAAACATTCAGTGTACCCTACCAATGGTAATTACAAGGAACACTAGAGCCAATCTATTAGGGCGTAATTGGTTCGACGCACTTAAGATTGAAATTTCGGGAATAAATAAAATTGAGGTTAACTCCTCGTTGGACGAGCTAGTGTTGGAGTTTCAGGAAGTGTTCTCGGAGGGGTTAGGCCAGTATAAGGGGCCACCCATTAAATTTGCGTTAGACCCGTCCATTGCACCAGTGAGCTGCAGAGCTCGAAACATTCCCTTTGCGTTGAGAGGGAAAGTCGAAGCGGAATTGGAGAAGTTGGTTCGCCAAGGAGTGCTGCAACCAATCGACCATTCGGAATGGAGCAGTCCGATTGTTCCAGTTGTTAAAAGTTCGGGCGAAATTAGAATTTGTGCAGACTACAAAGCCACAATCAATAAGGCACTACGAGTACCGGCTTACCCGATGCCAGTAATAAATGAGATCTTGGCCAGCTTGGGTGAGTGTAAAAGGTTTGCAAAATTGGACCTAGCACAGGCATACCAGCAATTGAGTGTGGACGAGAATGCAGCGAAAGCTCAAGCTGTAATTACCCATCGAGGTCTTTTCAAAGTAAATAGGCTTCAATTTGGGGTGAATGTCGCTCCACAATTATTTCAGAAATTCATTAATTCAAGATTAGCGGGAATAGATGGGGTCTTTCCATATTTCGACGACATCCTTGTTTGTGCGCGTGATGAAAGACAAATTCTAGATCGATTGCCAGAAGTGTTACAGAGACTACAGCAGGACGGGCTGAAATTAAAACGGGCGAAGTGCGTTTTTAATGTACAAGAAATTGAGTTCCTGGGATTCAGGATTGACAGCGAGGGAATTCGACCGACCCAGGAGAAAGTGAAGGCAATATGGGCCACTCCAGAACCTACATGTAAAAAGGAGCTGCAAGCATTTTTAGGTTTGCTGAATTTTTATCATACCTTTCTCAAGGGCAAAGCTGACATAGTCGAGCCATTGCATCGATTGCTTGATGAGGACAAACCTTGGGAGTGGACAGGTATTCACAAAATTGCTTTTGAATCTGTAAAAAGCCTAGTTACATCAGATTCCTTGTTGGTTCACTACAACCTCGAGTTACCACTGGTGATGGTTTGCGATGCATCACCTTGGGGGGTTGGTATTGTTTTAAGTCACATCATGCCGGGGGGAGTGGAAGCTCCAATTGCTTTTCATTCCCAAACACTGTCAGCCACGCAGCGAAACTATGCACAGCTAGATCGAGAGGCATTTGCCATCATCGCAGGAATAAAAAAATTCCACAAATACCTATATGGCAGGGAATTTACAATTATCACGGACCACAAACCGTTATTGGGGCTATTGGGAGCGACGAAACCGACTCCCGAGAGATTATCACCGCGAATGCTAAGGTGGATTTTATTCTTAGCCAACTACCAGTACGAGTTAGAGTATCGACCGGGGGCGAAAATTCAGCATGCTGACGCGTTAAGCCGGTTACCAGTGTCATCAATCGGGGCGGATCCTGAGGGTTTGGGGGACGTCCTGATGATTGAAATGATGCCAGAGAAGATTCTTAATGCAGAACAAGTCGAGAAGCTAACCGGTAAAGACTTAATTCTTTCGCGAGTGCGTGATTGGCTGCTTAAAGGGTGGCCTAGTGACATTCCACCTGAATATATACCATTTCGGAACAAACGCGCGGAATTGTCAGTATATAAAAACTGTGTTCTGTGGGGTTCAAGGGTAGTAATACCTGAGAAAGCGCGACAACAAGCCGTTGAATTATTGCACGCGACCCATCAAGGTATTGTGCGGATGAAAGCGCTTGCTCGTAGTTACATGTGGTGGCCAGGTTTGGACCAGGACATCGAGAAAATTGTGAAAGAGTGTAAAAAGTGCCAGGAAGTTGGTCATGCGCCGCCGCGTGCGCCAATTCACCCATGGGAGTGGGCTTCTGACCCATGGTCGCGAATTCACGTGGACCATGCAGGTCCAATAAAGGGACAAAATTTCTTAATTGTGGTAGACTCGTATTCGAAATGGCTCGAGGTAAAAAAAGTGCCGTCTGTGTCCTCGGGGGCTACGATTTGCGCGCTTCGAGAAATCTTTGCCACACATGGCTGCCCTGCTAAGGCAAAAAGCCGTATCTACCTACTTTCGCGATTTCCAGATTTCGGTGTCTGCGTGTTTAAAATAATATTCCTCAACTTCATACTAAACCCAGAAGCCGTATCTGTAATTTTTTCATAGCATTTTAAACATAAGAAAATAACATGTATCTACGTATTTATCAAATATGCTAAACGCAAGTAGCGCATGTGAAATATGCTAAGCAAAAACAGCTTTTCTGAGCAACTTTTGCAGATAAGCACATTTTACATACCTAGCGCTTAGTATATGATAATGCTAGATAAGCACATTATTCTTATAAATAGCGGTAGTAAACATAACCTCAAAAAGTGTTTATACACGAGTTTGCACGTGTGTAACAATTGTATGATCAGTATTTTACGTGTTATTTTGTGATGTGAAAGTGTTTATTGCTTGAAAGCTAAAAGTAATTTGTTAATAATTAGGATACTGAATGGAATAAGGATATAAGGTAAGGAAATCGTTAAGAAATTGGATTTACTTGTTAATTTAGGCATATGCTTGCAGTTGGCTGTTACCTATATTTACATTAATAACGGCGCTAAAAAAGTGCAATGGGAGATAGATCAAAGAGAATCCTGACTATGGCATTAAACTTACAGCTAGCACAAAAGAAAGCTACAATGAAAATGAAACGTATAAACAAAAAAGAAACAGACGATCCTAATTATGTACCCCTAAGCAACTATTATAGTAGCGCGAGTTCGGAAAATGAATCAGACGAGGATGTGGGTAAAAATGATTTCAAAACTCAAAATGTCTCGTCCCCTTCTAAAACAGTAGAAAGTCCTATAACAACTCAATCAGCATCAGATGGTATTAAGAGGATACACATTATTTCTGATATTCTAATAATACCTCCAACGGAAAAAACAGATCTAAATGAAGCACCTACTTTTTTAGTTGTCAGTAGCATTTTAGATGAAATATTGGAGAATGTATACACCAAATTGTTGTGACTTTCACAAACACGGTTCTTTTTAAGACTTTTATTAAGTTAAAAATACAACTTAGACACGCTACATGCTACGCTTAAAAACGGACTGCCTCTCACTTCACTTTTTACCACCCGTCCCCTACCATAGAATAGGTAACTAAAACTAATACACTACATTTTTCTTCCTTTAAACAAAACAACCTTTTCCTTAATCTAATAGCGTTTTCGGCTGAATAAACTGCGAGTGGGCAATTCGCACCGTATTGACGTCACAGAGTGCTCTCGATTCTGAGAGAAATCAATCGCAGCCGAACACGCCTTTAACTTTGAGAGCGCGAAATTTATACTACTTAACCTCACATATAGTCACGTTAACCGCCGGAAAAGATGGAAAAATATTGTATATTTTTAAAAATTAACGAAGTTGAATTTACTTTATCACTGGACCAAGTAACATTTAACAGTTTAACCGGTAAGTTGTAAACAGAATTAGCTCAGCTAGCAATGATTATTTCTTTTTAATAGCTAATCCCACTGACTTACTCCCTGATTACATCAAAGTTTTGCAAGAAAATAATGCTCTGCAAGAAATTAATGAAATACGAACACTGGCTTTTTCACTTGACAATAAAACCTTTCTGGAAATAGGGATTCAACCTCCGGAGCCACAAGAAGATCGTGCTCCTGAACCAGAGATGTGGGACGAACAAGCTACAAAATTATTACTTGACAAGTACGAAACGTACTTGCCACTAGTTGGCCCATTAAGAAAGTTTAAGAAAAAAAAGCAGTTGTGGTCAGCTATTTCTGAAGATATAAAGAATATTTTGAATATACAAAAAACGGCAGGGCAGTGCGAAAATCGGTATAAAACCGTTCTGAAAAGAAAAAAAAATATAATAAAGACTAATCGAACGTCTGGCGAATCACCAAAACATAATCCATATGAAGAAGAGCTTTCAAGGATTGCTGCCATTGATGATTCTGTTGAACCACCTGTAAGGATGGGTGTGGGAAAGTGTATTATTGTTGATAAAAATAACTGTGCCAACAAAACAGAAGAATCACCATCATCATCAAGAAGTGCAACACCAACATTTCCAAGCCGAAAGAGACCCGTGAGTGAAGTCCTTATGGAGATTGCAAAAGAAAAAGAAGAGGGACGTAACCGGCGTCACAAGGAAAAATTAGACTTGTTACGCAATTTAGCCGAAAAATTTTTCAACAAAACTGATTAGTATGTAACCATAGGAATTTAAAAAAACTACTGATTTTTCTTTATGCATTTTATATACCTTTTCCAAATAAACTGGTACACTTTATTCGTGGTTTAATAGGTCACAAATATACTGTCTTTTCAGTTCACCTAATCTACGCATTTCGTGTTCACGATCTGGACCAATAGCATTATCTTCCTCATTTGCGTTGACGATATCTTCACAAATATCATCATAATCGATGCAAATATTATGCAGTACACAACAACATAGGATAAATTGTGCCATTTTTACTACCTTATGAAAATCTAACCTGCCAAGTTGTCTAAAGCGCCCTTTTAAAAGCCCAAACGCATTCTCAATTTTAACTCTTGATGAACTTAATTTTTTATTATACTTTATTTGCTGCCGAGTTAAATTTCCGTAATCTCTGTACGGTGTAAGTAACCACTGCCTAATTGGGTACGCACTATCTCCAATTAAATGGTAATGGCCATTGTTAGATAGTGTTTGAATTTCGCTACTAATGAAAGATAATTTGAAAACTCTGCTGTCATGCAGCTTTCCGGCAGGTCCTGTAAATACATCTAAAAATTTTTTTTTAGCATCACAGATTCCCTGCAGTGTGATGCTAGGAATGTCGTGACGATTTGTATATGTCGACTTTATCTTATGTGCAGGCGTCCTAATATTTATATAGGAACCATCCACGCAGCCTAAAATATTGGGAAATCCAGATATCTACAAATGAAAAACAAAGTACAAAGGTACTAATAAAAAGCATTAGTTATTACCTGCTCAAATTCTGCAGCTACTCTTTCTTTCTCCAGATCTGTTTTTGGAAAACGAATGACTGTTGGTAGTAGATCCAATAAAAATGACATCACTCGTCGTTGAACTGAACTAAAGGTCGATAACGACATATTAAATCTATCGCCACTTTCTCTTATTGTGCAATTATTTCCAGCGTACCTGAAAATACATTTGTATTTCTATTGCGTACAAATTCTGTATAATTCATTACTCACCACAAAAAGCTCAAAATATGGCATTCAGCCGAGATTAAACTACTACCACCTTTATGTTCACTGGGATAAAATTCACTCCTGGCAAACTGCTCAACAAGTCTGTAGCATGTTGTTCGTTTTACACGAAAGTGACTTTTGAACTGTTAAATAAAACATTGTTAATACTGGACAAAGTACTGTACTAATCAATGTGCGACTTACCTACCTGTGAATCATTAAGTATGGAAACAACATTTTCGACATAATTGATAATTTTGGAATTGGGTGCTTATGCATCTGATCCACTAATATCCCTATTTCCTGGTCACTTTCATCGCTGCTAGATGATTCTAACAATTCAATGGCAAATTCCATAAAAATGTTAAACTTTTGAAACTGTTGTTGTAATTGATCAGCCATTTTTATTTTGAACTAGAAAGTTGCTCTGCCTGCCCTAACTATCAACCTCAGAGCAAGAAAAATTGCCCCAAGAGCGAAATTCACCGCTCTTAAATGTCAGCCGAAAGCATCACTCTCGTAAAGAGCGCACTCAAAACACCAGCCGAACATAAAAATCGCTCTGAGGGCGTAAAAAGTGCGCACCAGAGCGTCCAGCCGAAAACGCTATAAGTATCTAGCTGGTTTTTTAATATTACGAACAGACCTCCTTAATTCTATATTGTTTCCTGATTTTTATACAACCGTTTTTCAGGGTTGACTATAATAGAGTTTTCACTGTTTGACTTATTCGGTAAATCTGATACATCAGGTAAATTACATAACTCAGGTAAATTAGACCCTTCAGATGAATTTTGGATCTCATGTGACCCATTTAAAGATTTCATGGGACTTAATACCACTGGCGTGCTTTCTTTAATTGACTGATCATCATAAATAACGCACTTCCTTAAATGGTCCACATGCACATGTCTCGCATAATTTTCTACCATAACAATATACGTAACTGGGCTAACTCTAACTTTAATTATCCCGTAACTCCATTTAGCTGTTTCACCCCTAACATTTTTTACATAGACTTTTTCCCCCTCAACGAAACTTTTATATTTGGCCAATCCTACCTCCCTATTTTCCTTTTCCAGGAATGTAGTTTGCTTATCTTTTACAAAATTATTGAAATTCGGTTTTAACATCGAAATTCTGGTTCGAGGTTTTTGTTTTAACAATAACTCAGCCGGTGAGGTTTGAGTCATGTTATGTGGTATATTCCTATAATAGAATAAAAAGTTGTCTAATTTTTCTTGAATTGACTTAATTGAGGTTTTCACATCAAAATTTTGTTTTAACAGGTTATTTTTAAACGTTTGAATAGTTCTCTCAGTGATTCCATTTGATTTCGGATGAATAGGTGGGGACTTTAGAACTTTAATACCTTGAGCTTTACAAAACATTTCAAACTCTTCTGAACTAAATGGCGGCCCATTGTCAGAATGTATCTCATCTGGTAACCCAAATATAGAAAATGTTTGCCTTAGACAAGCAATAACATCACTGGCAGTGGTTGATTTTAGAATCCAAGCATCCACCCATTTACTACTTGCATCAATTAAAATTAAAAACTTTATTCCATTTTTCATGGCTAAGTCTAAGTGTAGTCTTTGCCACTTTCTTGGACACCATGTCCATGATGTCGTTGGTGCATCCGGAATATTTCCCGCCATTAATTGACAGCACTCACATGCTTTCACCAAACTCTCAATTTCTCTGTTGATATCTGGCCAATAAACATATTGACGTGCTAGCATTTTCATTTTCACAATGCCCGGATGTTGTTCATGAAGCAAATGTAAAATTGGTACTCTTAAATGTGTTGGTATAATAACACGGTTGTTAAACATTAAACAATTCATATCCAAATTCAACTGTTCCCTTATTATATAATATGAGTTAAGTGCCGCATCCAATTCTTTGGGATTTGGCCAACCACTCATCATAAAACCAATAACTTGTTGTAAAACTTTGTCTTTCGTCGTCTCATTAGCAATGTCTTTAGCGGATAACGGACTATTTTTGACCACTGAAAAATAATTTACAGATTCCCCACTCATTGAATTTTTTAATGGTAATCTTGAAAATGCATCAGCATTTTGCATATTTTTCCCTTCTCTATATTTAATATTGTAATCATAAATTGACAAAGCTACAGCCCAACGATGACATCTAGCTGCTGCCAACGGTGGCAAACTTTTCTGTGGTGACAAAATGGTTTGCAGCGGTTTGTGATCATTAAATAAGGTGAACTTACGGCCAAACAAATAATTATGGAATTTTCTCACACCAAATATGATTGACAAGGCCTCCTTCTCCAACTGACTATAGTTTTGTTCTGATTTTGATAATGTTGCTGACGCAAACATTACTGGTCTTTCGCTCCCATCAGGCATCATATGAGCTAACACCGCTCCCACACCATAGTTAGATGCATCACATGATACAATTATAGGCAATTTTGGGTTAAATGTCATTAAAATATTTGAAGATGTCAAAAATAATTTACTTCCCTCAAAACAGTCGTTTACTGGTTTATCCCAAACCCAAACAACCTCTTTTCTTAAAAGTTTATACAAAGGAGCAACTTTGGCCGCTAACATAGGAATAAATTTGGCATAATAATGTAATAACCCTAGGTACGACTGCAACTGTTGTTTATTCACAGGTACTGGCGCTTTTAAAATGGCCTCCAATTTATCTTTTGACGGTTCAATACCTGCCTCAGATAAGGTATGACCCAAAAATTCAACTTTGGTGACAAAGAACTTACTTTTTTCCCAATTTATTCTTACATTATATTGCTTCAACCTATCCAAAATTTTTATTAGTCTTGCTTGCATTTCGTTATTATCCTTAGCTTGAATTAGACAATCATCCAGATAACAATGCACCCCTTCAATACCTCTCAAAATTTGATCAATTACTGACTGAAAAATGTGTGGGGCACTCTTAATCCCGAATGCCAAACGTGTATAAGCATATAATCCAATTGGTGTGTTAACGACTAATAATTTTTTGCTCTCATCGCTAACTTTTAACTGTAAATACGCATTCTTCAAATCAATAATTGAAAAGATTCTTCCTCCCGCCAGTGACGCAAATATTTCCTCGGTTGTAGGTAAAGGATAATATTGATTTTCAATGCACGGATTAATGGTTTGTTTAAAATCTCCACAAATTCGAATCCTACCATCAGATTTTGGTACCACCACAATTGGGCTTGCCCATTCTGATGTAGTAACAGCTTCTAAAATACCTTCCTTGACTAACTTTTGTATTTCAGCCTCAACTGTATCTTTTAATGCATATGGAATTCTATACGGTTTACAAAATTTAGGAATAGAACTATTTTGAACTTTAATGTTTACTACGAATTCATTAATAAAGCCTTTACTTAATACCCCAGAGTACTTTTGTTTCAAATGCTTAATCACATTTGCCATGGACTCCTGTGAATTCAAATGATTGACCTCAATATGGGAAATAGTTGTATCAAGTAATTTACTTTTCCAATTCGGGATTAACTTATCTAACCAATATCTACCTAACAGACAAACGTCACTATCATAATCAACCACCTTAAGTTCTAACTGAAAGTCATTGTTTCTAAAATGTACATCAACCAAAGCTCTATAAACTGACTTTTTTGCTTCACCAAATAAGGTATTTATTCTACAATTACTTAGCTTGGTTAATGCAACATTTCCGAACCTAGATTTAAACATCTTAAATGGCATTATGGTACTATTGGCACCTGTATCCACTTCCATATTCACTGATTTATTATTGATAAGCACACTTACTTTAACTGGACATTGATCACCTATTGTAACGCAACGCAACACATCCTCGTTTTCGTAAACCCTGGACCAATGTACTAAATCGTCATATAGCTCCTCGTCGACATCCTCGTTTTGACCCTGCGACGACTGTTCGAACTGTTCCTCTTCCTCCTCGGTGAAATGCACTTTATTCTTGTGGCACAACGGCGACCTTGCGGTGTGACCAATTTTATCACATGCAAAACATTTCCACTTAACGGCTGGACATTTGGAAGGATCGACATGTATTCTCAGGCACCTCTTACAACTTTGACTTTTTCCCAGACTGGAAGTCTGACCTGACTGTTTTGTACGAAACTGCGGCTTTCCTTGACTGTAATTAGACTCGAACTTCTTTTTATTAACTTGACACTTGTTGACTAATTCTGACCCTAAACTTCTCGCTTGCCCTTCGGCTAATTCCATGCTTGATGCTATTTTGACTGCTTTTCCGAAGGTTAACTCTTCTTCTGATAACAACTTACGCCTCATTGCTTCACTTCTTATACCGCAGACAAACTTGTCTCTTAACGCTTCTTCCATGAACTGACCAAACTTACAGTTTTTTACCAAGTTTTTCAACTTCAATGTGAACGCCGCAACGTCCTCGTGACTCTCTTGCCTCGCACAGTGGAATTGATACCTCTCCGCAATGACCAACCTCTTCGGACTGTAATGTTTCATTAACACGTCCTTGAGATCCTTATAGGATTTATCCTTGGGCAACACCGGAGATAATAAATCCCTCAACACCTCGTACGCCTCTGCACCCAACAATGTTAGGAACATGCAAACTTTCTTCTCCTCTTCCACGCAGTTACACTCGAACAATTGATCCATTCGTTCTAAGTACGAATTTATCTCGCTCTCTTTCGACTTAAACGGTTCGATACTACCTATTAGCATCTTGACAATTTGACTTGGACTTGACTGTTATGTACAGACTACAAGACTTCTTTTCTACAACAGACTTTTCCCACGTTTTTTTTTACGTAACCTAACCTTACTTTTTCCCGTGTGACTTGACTAAGACTTCTCAGTAGACTTAACGGCGTGACTGATATTTAACTTAAATCATCCTCGTCGCCATTATGTTGTGACTTTCACAAACACGGTTCTTTTTAAGACTTTTATTAAGTTAAAAATACAACTTAGACACGCTACATGCTACGCTTAAAAACGGACTGCCTCTCACTTCACTTTTTACCACCCGTCCCCTACCATAGAATAGGTAACTAAAACTAATACACTACACAAATTTACTAAACTGGGACAGAAGCGAAAAAGACAAAAGTTTGTTCAGTCAGTGAAAGATCGAAGAGAAATTAAATTGGATAAGATAAGAGCCAAACATAGTTTAAGGAATCGATCATGTGAATTAAAGAAATGCAAGGAAAAGTGTTTGAAAATTAGTGATATACGGCGTGAAGAACTAAATACCCAATATTGGAAAATGACCAACAAAGAACGCAAAACATTTCTTTTAACCTATACAAAAAAAATGCAAGTCAAACGTCGTACTGTGCAACCTGCTTTAGGTCAACCATCATACAGAAGGCAAAATTCGCTTTCGTATTACTTAAAAGATGAAGACGGTAATATAATTGAAGTGTGCAAAGAAAATTTCACATCTACACTTGGTTACTGCACTAATAATGATAGAGTTATTAGAACAGTATTAAAAGCTGAGAACAATGCTCTGATGCCTCTTGACGATAGGAGAGGATCTCATACCCCTGCCAATAAATTAGATAAGTCTATTGTTATTGATCACATCAATTCTTTTGCGCCATCTATTGCCCATTATCGGCGCGAGCATGCTCCGCTTCGACTATACTTACCGACTGATTTAAATGCCAATATAATGTACAAACATTTTCAAAATATTTATGGAGAGACATGGTGTTCTTACGACTATTACAGGACTACTTTAAGGGACCTCAACATCAGCTTTGTGAAACTAGGACACGAAGACTGTTTTGTTTGCGAAAAATCTGACCTGCATTTTAAATCCACCGACCATAAGAAAAATTCTCTCAATGAGATTTGTGTAGACTGTAAACAATATGAGCGACATATATTAAAGGCACAACAAGCAAGAGAGCAATATAAAGCGGATGGAGCTGCTGCAAATGCCAATGGAAAACCTGTATTTTCTGGAGATTTACAGAAAGTGAGTTTTTGTAACTTTTTGCTATTATTAACTTTATTTAATATTGTTTCTATTGCAGGTGATCATGCTTCCTCGATTTGAATCACTAAAGGATGTCATATTTGCTCAAAGACTCGTGGCCTTTCATGAAACTTTTGCGCCTGTTGGAACTAAATCTAAAAGAAAACCTCTTGCGATATTATGGCATGAAGCGATAACTGGACGATCGCGAGTGGATATAATTAGTACATTTTATCGTTTCTTCCTTCATAACAGAGACGAACCAGATATTGTTTTGTGGCTTGATAATTGCAGCGCTCAGAATAAAAACTGGGCGTTGTATTCCATGTTTGCATATGTTGTCAACTGCAAGGAATTAAGTCTAGACAAGTTACAAGTTAAATACTTCGAACCAGGACATACGTTTATGTCAGCAGACGCATTCCACCACCAAGTGGAGAAGTCATTAAAGGAAAAACACAAAGTTCTCGATTTCAATGACTTCATTGAATGCGTCAAGAAAAGTAACTCTGGTAAAGTGGATGTTGCAGAAATGAAATTACACGATTTTTTGAATTGGAAAGACCTTGCTTCTCAATATAAAATTACCAGAGCCACACCAAGACCGTATTTGAAGGATATTGTATATATCGAGTTTAACAGAGGATCTCTTAACATGAAATACAAACAGAACTTTGCAGATGAACTCTTAATTGAAGTAAGCTTTCTAACAAAAAAAGCAGAAAGGGAAAAACTGTCTCTTCCCGAACCTAAAACAAACCCCAGAGGGTTTCCATCTCTTCGAAAAAAATCAATATTGGAAAACCTTTCACCAATTATTCCGTCCAGCAGACTAATATTTTGGCAGCAGTTACCTGAAGTCGAGGAATTAGGAGAAGATGAGGAAGACTGAATGATATAAAATATTTAGTTATTTGTACTTAAACATGCTACATATACTTTTTTTAATAAATGAGTACCTATCTGTTCTTTGTAACCTATTTACTTATTGGTACATTTCACTCTAGAGATTTACATATTTATAGCTCAGGTACTAAATATAAGCACATTGTCATTAGTACTTATCAAGTGTTTTACAAGACACAAAGTGCTTATCTGCCAAATTTTTGCAACTATTGCCATTTTTCATTTTTTGCTATTAATGTTTGAAAATCATGAAGGAATACATTATGCATGTAAACTTAAAGAAAAATTAAATTTAACGAAAGTTAGAGGCCTTAGCAGGGCAGATGGGCTGCCCAATGTAGTAGTCAGCGACAATGGGACAGCATTCACATCTTCCGAATTTGCAGAATTCCTTAGGAAGAACGGAATTCGACAGGTATGCGTGGCACTGTATCACCCTTCGTCAAACCGCCAAGCCGAAAGAATGGTGCAGTTTACCAAGCTAAATTTGGCGAAATTGGGAGAGGGAGATTGGTCGCTGAAAATCTCCAGATTCTTGCTGGGCCAACACACCACACCATGTGCCATGACAGGGGTGAGTCCAGCGGAACTGTTACAGAAACGAAAACTACGTACTTGTTTGGATCGAGTCCGACCAGATTTTGTACAATCAATGCAGCAGAAACAAGAAAAGCAGGCCGGGACCACGAAAGCTCCCAGACAATTTGAAGCGGAACAGGACGTCTTCATTAGGGGGTATGGTGAAGCTAGAAAATGGGTTCCTGCCACTATTGTTAGATCGACTGGGCCAATTTCGTACGAGACCAAGGACACCGAGGGGAAAATGGTACGTCGACATGTGGATCAGATCAGAGATCGTGGGGCACCATCGTCATCCAGCACCGACTATCCACCGAGAAGAACCTCATCGGAGACATCGGAGAACATTCCTTGCAGCAGCGTACCAGACAACGAGGGAATCCCGAAGGAGAACATCGTAGAGACACAAAGTGATGTGAGTGAGCAGGCAGTAGGGAAACGAGTGCGCAAAAGACCCTTACGTTTAGCCGATGATGTGCTTGAAAGCTAGGGGGGAGGAGTGTTATGTATTTGGCGGGAGTGCGCGCGCGTTAAGAGAATGGTGGGTGTGCTTAGATATGCTAGTGTTAGTTCTTGCTTAGATATGGTAGTAGAATGTAGTCTGTTACAATAAAGTCGAGCTAGAGTAGTTGAAGTAATACAGAGTATTATTCAATCGCGACACGTGGTTGTGTTTCCCGGACAACACAACACCACCAAAATTTGGGAACGGTACAGTTCCAGAGGACGACGCAAAGAATTCGACACACATTTTATCATTCGATGATTTTAAATACATATTTTGTGAGTCCGAACGTGACAGTCGCGCAGCACACATTAAAAAAATTCAATCCAAACTTGAAATGTCATCACTGAATTATGAAGATTGGGAAGAGCTTATGTTCGATAATTTATATCCAGAGTCGAAGGAACACACGACCAGTGATATTGAACATACTATCCAATGATTCTTTATTTTCTCGCAGGTTTCATTTGTAAGAAAATATATAAAACATCACAGTGCAATCTTTGCAAAGAACATTTGTATAACAAAGAACCTAAGAAGTTTTTACCAGCAAGTGAATTGACAATTCTAAAATCTAGAGGTGGTTTAAATCATCCAAATTTATTCATATTTAGCACGCTAAGTCAGGTAGAATTGGTGCTTATGCGTCATGTTAGATCAGTTAATGTTTTTGAAGGTACTTTGGACGATTTCTTTTCTTCCCAACAGAATACGATTTCCGCTTTCCCCTGTACGACTCATTCAAGTGATGTAATGGCACAAAGCGTGTTTTTTTATATTGCAATGCGAGTTAAACAATTTTATAATCAAGAGTTGCCAAAATTTCGTCAAACAAGAAGAAAGAAGCCAAATTACAAATTGTGTAAACCTTTGTAAACGTGCATATTTCACACTTTATTTAGTTATAGTAAATGAATAAATGCAAAATAATAAAGTATTATCTGTTTTAACAATGTTTTAGCGATTGGTACTATTAAAACCGCATATACTCATGTGCATGTCCTATTTTTACCCGTTTGCTTACGGGGAGTAACGCTCACCTTGTAGCGCATTATACCGTATACAGAAAATGAACCCTACGACCAGAGACATGGAGTGGTTATTTCTTCATTGCTTCTTTGACAGCGGTTGAAAAAGCAAATATTGTGAGAGAGGCTTTAAGAGCTCTTTTTGAATGCGGAGTTGTTATTACTAGTATCACCAATGATGGGCCAAATGTGAATTTCAGAATGTTTACGGAACTGGGATGTAAGTTGGATGACGTGGCAAATATGATTACGTGGTTTCCTCATCCATCAGATCCAGAAGAAAAGGTTTTTGCCATCATGGATGTGCCCCATATGTTGAAATTGATGAGGAATGTGTTGGGCACAAACAAACATATACATACACCAGATGGACAAGTTTCATGGCATTTTATTGAAGATTTGCACGAATTGCAAGAAATAGAAAGTTTACGACTTGGTAATAAATTGAAAAAAAATCATATCGAATGGCAAAGGCAGAAAATGAAGGTATTTTTCTTATCATCTACTGTTACAAATTTTTATATGATCTCATTTTCAGGTGAGTTTGGCCGCTCAAACTTTAAGCACTAGTATTGCAGATGCTTTGGAGTTTTTATGTACCGATGTAGGGCATCCAAAATTTCAAGGATGTCTCCCAACTGTTGCTTTTATCAGAAGAATCAACAACCTCTTCGATTTATTGAATTCGCGGAGCCCTTGGGGATATGGATACAAAGTCCCGTTGAAAATGGAAAACAAGGATTTCTGGAAACCCTTTTTATTGGATACTTTGGGTTATTTGCAGTCATGCACTGATGGCTCCGGGAGGCCTCTGTATTTAACTCCAAGGAAAACACCATTCCTGGGCTTCATGATATGTTGCTTATCGGCTAGTGGTCTATTTGAGTGGCAGGTGGAGGAGAAGCAACGTCTTGTTTACATTCTAATGTATAAATGTAGTCAAGATCATCTTGAAATGTTTTTCTCATGCATAAGGTATAAATGCTGATTTTTCCATAATAAATGTGAATAATATTTCTTGAATGCTGCAGGGCTCGTAATGGTTGGAACAATAACCCAACTGCTTTGCAATTTATGTATTCATTCCGTCGTATTCTTCTTTTCACGAAAGTATCTCCAAGAGGCGGTAATTGCAAAGTATTGGATACGACAACTATTCTACATGTCCCGTCAAAAAGCAAATCACGGAAAACATTGGAGATGTATGACGTGTCACTGGCTATGAAATATGGTTTGACAGATGAAGTGGTCATTCAGGATCATGAGTATTACTTCGACATTCCTTTTGCAGACCTTAATGACATTACCACCAATATTATAACTTATATTGGTGGATATGTTGTAAAAATGCCCCGAATGTTTGGAAGAATGCCTGGTGAAAGCAAACCAACTTTCAGGAGTCAATTATATGCTCTTACTACGTAAAAAAAGAGGTGCGTGCATAAAAATGTTTTGAAATGATATATATAATTTGATCATTTTTAGGAGCTCTCCACACTCCAAGCTCGAGTGTTGTAAAAATATGCTGCACAACAGAAATTTATATAAAGAGAATGATGATTATGACGGATGGGGCATTACCCCCGGAAACTGGTTTTTTCGACACTTTCATGGTTGCTGTCGCTCAAAAAACATATGAGTATAACTTGTTTGAAGAATTGGACCACCATTTTTCATGCTTCGCCTTCAGTGAAGAAAATCACAAATTCCTGCTTATTAAATTAATAATAAAAAATTATTTAAAAATACGAATTTTCAGTTTAGGTCGCAGATATACACAAAAAATGTCTGGGCCTCTAGTGCGGCAACAGCTCACTAAATTAATTTTATTCAATCACCAATAAATAATATGTTATTATGAGCCATTAGTTTTATTTATCCCAGAATGTGTTGATTGAAATTTGAATTTCGCGCTTCCAAAGTGTGTAAAAATGGCGGCTGCTTGATTAGCCTCTTCGCGCACCTTGATACGCCATCTCCCACCACTCCATGTCTCTGCCTACGACGCGCTCTCTCTCTTACATCTTAGCGATACAACATTGGCACTAGGGTTGCCAGACGTACCCCTTTATGGGGTACAATACCCCATTTTTAAACGCGTTTGTCAAATGTGCCACTTTTCAAAAATTCCAAAAGGGGTACGCAAAATACCCCATTTACTTGCGCCAAATAAAAAATGCAGTATGAATGTATGATTCGTCAAAACCAGTTAACCAGTTGAGTTGTGCTTATGTATGGAATGTGGTGGGAGCGCCGCGGGGAGGTATTGCATTCCGCCGCCGCTACACCCGTTAGTCGCCAACATAGAACTGTATACAGTTCTATGGTCGCCAACAACAGCACGTGAATCGGTGAGTCGCGGAGAGCGTAAACAATAAAATTAAATTATTTTGTGCTTGTGCATTGTCTTCGTGCCTTCGTGGTGAAAGAAGGAATTGCAGTTTACCTAGTAGAAGGGCTCATACCTACTCATACGTTATTTGTAAGTATAGTTATAATTAAATACCATGAACATGTGATTTTGGATTAAGTACATTTTAATTAATAGTAACATTTTTTACAGAATGTCAATGAAATGTCATCATCCGAGTATGATTATGATAGGGAAAGTGAGAAAAGGGAGGAGTGCAAGCAAAAATCCAAAAAACGACGAAATTATTTTAATAATGACTGGCAGCAAACTTACAGTTGGCTTCTTAAAGGCAAAGAAGAAGGCACTGCAAAATGTATTGCTTGTAATTCTGAGTTTTCCATTGCCAATGGAGGAGTTTATGATGTAAAGAAACATATGAAAACCGGAAAACATATAAAACAAGTGGAAAATTCAGCAAGAACCCCAAATATATTATCATTTTTCAATTCTACATCTACAGCGGCATCTACAAAGAATAATTACAGGACAGCAGCAGCAGAAGATTGTTTTGCGTATCATACTGTACAACATGCACATAGTTATAATTCTGCTAACTGTAGCAATTCACTTTTTTCAGTAATTTTTCCTGATTCCAAAATAGCCCAGACATTTTCTTGTGGAAGAACAAAATTGACTAAAGTTGTTACCAATGTTTTGGCAAAGGAATCTCGTAAACTTATCATTCAAGATCTCTCGGGAAATCATCCATTCAGTTTGGCCACAGATGCATCGAATAAAGGTAATATAAAAATGTTCCCTCTTGTTGTGAGATATTTCAAAAAAGATGTTGGTGTTCAAACCAAACTTTTGAATTTTTTTGATTCTTCTTCTGAAACATCTAAAATTATAGCAAACTGCCTTATTGAAAAATTAAAGGAGGCTAATTTAAATCCCCAAAATGTAATAAGTTATTGTGCAGATAATGCCAGTGTAAATTTTGGGAAAAATCAAAGCGTCTTTGTTGAATTGCAAAAATTTAATTCTGAATTAATTGATGTGGGTTGTCTTTGCCACGTGCTGAATAATTCCATAAAAAATGCTTCAAATTGTTTGAAATTTGATTTGGAATGCATTATTATGAAAACATATAATACATTTTGCTCTCATTCTAAAAGGAAACAAGAACTATTGGAATTTTATGATTTTTGTGATGTGGAATACAGTGAATTATTGAGGCATGTCCCTACTAGGTGGCTTTCTCTAGTACCAGCTATAGATAGGCTTTATAAAAACTTTGAGCCAATAAAAAGTTATTTTCTATCAATGTCTTCTTGTCCAGCATTACTTCATGATTTTTTCACAAATGATCTAGCTGAAGCATACCTAGGTTTAGTTTCAAATATTGGCACATTAATTCAAAATGTAATTTTAAAATTAGAGGGCGAAGGACCTATTATAATAGAGATATATGATCTATTGTCAAATTTGCGCAATTCACTAAAATCAAAGTTGGAGCAAAAATATTATGGAATGATAGCACATCAAGCAATGCAAAAATGTGATGACTTCAATGAGGTCAACTTGTTTAAGAAGAGAGCTGAAGCATTTATTTCAAAAATTGTAGATTACGTAGAGCAAAGATTTGATTTTACCCAGAATCGCTTTGAAATCCTAAAAATATTTAAATTAGAAACTATGCCAACCTTTGAGAAAATTTTAGAATTACTACAAAAATTTCCTATAAAAAATATTAACACTGATATTCTTTTTGAAGAGTACGTCATATTAAAACAAAAATTTCCATCACTTGAAAATCTTTCCTTTGAACAAAAGTGGGTAACATTTTTAAATACCTGTCAAGTACCTAATTTTGAAAAAATTGTTAATTTTGTTTTTGCTCTGGCTCATTCAAATGCAATGAGTGAACGAATGTTCAGTTTGATGTTTCAAGCTTGGCGAAAAGATAGAAACCGGTTATCTTTGAAAACCATTGAAGCCGAAATCATGGTGAAACATAATTATGGGAAAACTTGCAAAGATTTCTATAACTATGTCTTAGAAAATGAAAAATTACTAAAAACCATCACATCCAATGAAAAATACGTAGAATAATATTTTAATATCTAGCTAAGTAGTTCATGTTTTAATATAAGTATATACCTATAATTATTTTTCGCTTTTATCCAATGTATTATACACCTTTTTTAAATAAAATTTGTCTTCTTGTCTTGTAAATGTAAATACGAGTAGTTTTTGTAAGGTATCATATTATGTCACAAAGTCTTCTTTCTTAATTGGTATCCCCAGAAGTTGAATAAATGTATTTCTTTCAATGCTCAAACATTTGAGTAAATAATTGACCAGTGTGTTTACAATCTTGAAATGCCGCATTTAATGGCCTATATTCTACGCATTTTTGTGGTCTGAGAAAGACGTAAATTAGTCTAAAAACATGTTTAATGCTACCAAAATTTCAAAAATTTTCCGGGGGAGAACCCCCGGACCACCCCGCCTACTGGGGGGTATTCCCCCCAGACCCCCCGGTTGCGACAACGTCCCATCTATGCTCACTCCTAACGTACCCCTTTTTGGAAATTTATATCTGGCAACCCTAATTGGCACACTACGGAGCGCGCGGTCGGACCACCTCTCTTATTATTCACCGTGGCTATGACTATCAACAAGTAATAATAAGTGATAATCCTTAAATTGCAAGAAATCTATATGAACGCGTTTCCAGCATCGGAAAGTTTGTGGCCATGGGGTATACGGAACGGATAACGGTTTGTTTTGATGCAGTTGACAGGGTTCGCATCTTTCGACAAATTTTTCTATGTCCGAATCTATGTTCGGCCACCAGAGTTCACTTCGTGCTAGTAGTTTCATCCTAACGACTCCAATATGCTGATCATGTAATAATTCTAAAATTGAGTTTCTTAACTCGAATGGAATTATTAAACGATTACCCAAATTCTATAGCAGCATTAGACCAGAAAAAGTTACCGGTGGTGCTACTGTTACTGACATCAAAGCTCTTAAATATAATGCAAATGGTCAGATTGAGTTCAAGGTATGCCATTCTGAAGACTGGAAGATCTTATCCCAGAGGTACAAACATTTAACACCTACGCAATTTGAATGCTTGCCCCGTCTGCATAAAGAAAGAAGAAAAATCAATGGAACAATGGGGGTATTGTTTGTCGCGGAAGGAGGTTCTGGACATTGTTCAGCAATTTGTTGAAGCGAACAAGTTAAATACCCAATTTAAGGATAATCAACCAGGTGCGGACTGGTTCATCAATTTTAAAAAAAGACATAATTTATCCCTCAAAAAACCTCAAGGTGTAGAAACTGCACGAAGGAAAGCCCAAGACCCTTTTATTGTAAACTCATATTTTGAATTGTTAAGTTCAACAATAAATAAACTTGGCATTGCGAATCATCCTGAACGCATTTATAATATTGACGAGACAGGGTTTTGCATGGATCCCTCCAAAACCAAAGTTGTAGGGGCCAAGGGCGTTCTAAGCACTAGAACTATCAGTAGCCCAGGGAGAGAGAATACCACGGTCATAATGGCAGTAAACGCTGATGGGGACAAACTGCCCCCCTTAATTATTTTTAAGGGGAAGAACATATGGGATGAGTGGATGGCAAGCCCTGAAGATGCTTTTCCAGGCACCACATATGCTGCTACTGTTAATGGATGGGTAGAAGCACAAGTGTTCCGCAATTACTTTGAGCGAAATTTCGTACACAACATACCTCCAGAACGTCCCGTCTTGGTCATTTACGATGGTCATAGCACACATCTCACTTCTGATCTTGTAATGTATGCAGCGTCGGTTGATATTACCATTTTAAAATTACCCGCTCATACAAGTCATTTTTTGCAACCATTGATATATCAGTGTTTAAGCCACTAAAAACTACATGGGATCAAGAATTGGTTAAGTGGCAGAGAAAGAATCCAGGAAGGAAAATTCCCAAAAAAGTTTTTTCGAAGTTGATTGGAAAAGTGTGGACAAATATTGGGCCTACTGTTATTAAAAATGGTTTTTTGAAAGCTGGAATTCACCCCTTTAATGACAAAGTGATTGCCGAGACCCACTTTCGCCCAGATGCATTGCGGCGATGGCATAACCTTCAGAATGGGCAACAAGCTACAACTTCTTCTACATCAGACGATGGCAGCAATACACCCTCTATGTAAGTGCAAATTTATTGTTTTAACTGCTCACTTACTTATTGGTGATTTCAGAGACGATGCTTTCTCATTTGAAGCATTGCTATTGAATACAGTGAAGAGCAATGAAACCATATCTCCACTAAAAAAAAAACTAGAGTGGCGCCAGGAGCTGAAGTCATTACTGCAAAAGTTGCATTGGCAGGTGTGGCTAAAAAGAAAAAAAATCAATATGAGAAAGAGGTACAAAGTGACAGCGACGACGGGTATTTCTCTGTACCTGTACAGGATGAATCAGAGTATGACAGCAATGCAGACCTATCACTTTCAGAAAATGAGGAGAGTGAAGATTTTTTTAAAGAGAAAGTCACAGACTTGTCTGTAGGGGACTGGGTGTTAGTCTCATTTGAGGTTCTACAAAAACAGAAAAAGTGTCCCAAACTAGTTTTTTACATAGGAAAAGTTATAGAAATTGCAGAGGAAATCAGAGTAACATTTTTACGTAAAAGACGAACGTATTTTGTATTTCCACAAGTAGCTGATGAGGTGGCTGTAGTAGAAGATGCCATCCGCAAAAAAATACCAAATCCGGATGTTAGACGTGGTCTCCACAACTTTAGAATTAAATTCCCTGAAGACATAGATATTCAGTGAATATTCATTGTAACTTTAATGTTTTTGCATTGTGTGGTACATTTGCAACAGTGACAGTATAGTTGTTTATAGCTCTATACAATTTAATAAATGATACAGTTGTAGTGTTTCATTGAGAACATTTCTTAGTACTTCTATGCACTTGCCCCAATCTATATAATAAACAAGTACATGGAAAATAGGCCTGGGGTGTGCTCTTGCCCCGATGATATGGGGCAAGTGCACACCCAGCCCATTAAATAAAAAAAAATTAATTGCTCTTGAAGTAAAAAACCTAAACCTTGAACCAATTGCAAAAACGATCCTATGCGTGTACTCATAATAACCACAAAGTTTGAAGACGGTGCATTGCATAACTCAGCCCTACAAGCCTTGTGAACTTGAACTTGCCAAATGAGGGGGTGCACTTGCCCCAACTCACCTTACTACCTTTGTCTTTCTTTTATATGCAAAAATATATTTTTTATGTTTCTTGTAAAGTTGACCAAAATGGAGTTACGTGGTATCATTTAATTTATAACTAATCAGAAGCGCAGGTTAAATGGCAGGATATGTGACTGTTTTCAATAGTTTAAATTACAAGACGTAGATGTCTCTACCATCGAGAAAGATGAATAATAATGTCAGTTTTTTACCTTTGTTAATTATTATACATGGTTTGTAATGCTGCCATCTAATGTCAATGTAACGCTCCACTTTCGATCGCCCACGGACTTTCAAACGATCGAACTGCTCCTAGCGGCGGCCAGTTGGCACATGGTCACAAACTGTTATATGGGATCCGCGCTTCTGATAGTTATAAATTCAATGGTGGTATGCTTATGAAGCCCCATCTATTATTTTCTATCTATTTGCTACAATGAATAAATCATTGAACTATATACTCTGTAACAGAGTATATAGTTCAATGGAATAAATACAGTTCATTTTTCCTACAATTACATTTCATATACAGCACTCATCATCACTATCATCATCTAAAACTTCATTAATCCAATAATTACGTTTCTTTTCAAGTTGTCCATTTTTTAGAGGTTATGGATTTGAAAACAACAAGAAAACATATAAATCAGCTGCTGCCTTTGCGTTCGACAAATATATGGTAAACGGTATGCACTGGTGCAATCAGGTTACCGCATTGCACCAGAAATGATCTACCGGTACAATTATCGTAAATGCCTAATAATAGACTTCTCTACCGTGGTATAAGGAAATTGCACCAATAGCTGACCTTGTACCAATTGATGACACCATCAACTTTAATTAAATTTAATAAGAAAACAATAATTTCAAATGCAGATTTCTGTAATTCCAACGCTTCTTGAGTACCCTTTCAAGACACATTAGCCGCTTTCCTTTCAACTGATCAGAGCTGATCGAGTAACTCTGAAGAGCTCCGGTGTGTTCCATTACCACAGATCATTTTGATCTGGTTCATGTTTCCCTCTTCCCCTCATGCACGACCTTTTTCGCGGGAGCATTAGAGTAGATCAGTAAACATAACCTTAGTTCTTTATTTACATCTTTGCTTAAAATATTTTGCTTGGGTAGTATCACGAAACAATAATGGAATTAATCCTAGAGGAAGACGACGTACAATATAAATTATGTGTATCAGAAACTGATTACAATCGTGCAATGACAGGTTTATATAACGTAATCAAATTTTGCTAATTACTATATTTTATAGATCATGCATTTGCACAAAGTCTATTATTTCACGCAAAAGTTACCGGTAGTTCTATTAGTACAGTTGCCTCAAATCAAAGTCGTGTAGAGAACTTGGAACCGGCATCGGACAATTTGGAACAGTACTTGGAAAACTACCGTCACAGCTGGTCGCATGACGAGACGTTGTGTCTTATTAAGTCAATGGAAGTGCACATTGAGGATGAAAACCATCCTAAAAAAAGGAAATTCATTTTCGAAAATGTTGCAAATGATCTGATAAGCAATGGCTTTCAGGTGAACGCTACCGTGTGCCACAATAAGTGGAAAAACTTAATGCGATCTTATAAAACTGCAAAAGATAACATGCTAAAAACCGGAAGAGGACCAACTAGATTTTTATTTTTTTCTGAAATGGATGGGGTTCTAGGTGAAAAACCATCGAGCAGTGCGACACATACATTAGAATCTAATAACTTACAAAATTTACCCGACACATTGCCACCTCCCGAGATGTCTGCAATGTCCTCTCCGTCATCATCACGGTCATCAACACCCACACTGACACGAAGTAAAGAAAAAAAAGGAAGCATTCTACAAATAAAAAAAGAGGAATTTAGGAGAAAACATGAAAGTCATAAGGAAAAAATGAGACTTCTTGAGATAAGGAACAAGGTTGAGGAACAGAAAGTGAATCTCTTACAAGAAATTTTAAATAAGTTAAACTCATAAATAGTTGTAATTATGTTGTTTCAATATGAATAGTAATTTCGTTTTTTAAATTATGTAATATTACATTGGGAATATGTTATATATGTTACTATAAATATTTGTTTATTTCATGAAATAAAAAATAAAAGATATAATCTGATTACGAAAACATTTCTTCAAATATTTGTTCTCTCCGATGCCTGGTTACGTTTTTTACATCTGACTGCAATGGTATTTCACTATTAACATCACTACTTATGTCATAAGGTTCTATTACTGTATTATCATGTTTGCTTTCACAAATATTGTGAAGCACACAACAAGCCATCATAATTTTCACACAGATATTGATATTTAAGTTCTCTAAATGTTGTAGCCTGCGGAACCTCCCCTTCAAAAGTCCAAACACATGTTCAACAATAATGCGTGTCGATGAATGTTTAAAATTAAACACTTTTTGATTGTTACTTAGGGCACCGTTGTCCTTAAATGGAGGTACTAACCAACTCAGAGATGGATATGCTGAATCACCCAGTAAGTATTTATTGCCAAAGAAATTAACATTATTTTCGGCTTTAGAATACAGTGAGGACCTCCTTAACAACCGAGCATCATGCAGAGATCCCGGCTCTCCACAATACACGTCAATAAATTGCCTGAAGCTATTGACAGTTCCTTGTATTAGCAAACTAAAGTATCCTTTTTTATTGATGTATGAGTCTTGATCATTTTTTGGCCTCCGAATTCTCACATGACATCCATCAATTGCTCCAATTACATTTTGACTGCCAAATTTGGTGGCGAAAGCTTTAGATATAACTTCTGTTTCCTCCTGCGTTGGCCACTTAATGTACTCAGTACGTAGAGACAGTATACAATTTAATACCCTTTCAATTACACGGTGAGCAGAGCTCAGTGACACATCAAAACGATCAGAAACCTGCCTAAATGATTCCGTGTTTCCAAGGTACCATAATGTCATAAGCATGGCCTTTTCACTTGATATTTTCATTTTTCCGTGTTCATGAACAGGGATGAAACCACTGTTTTCCAGTCTACTAGCTAACTGGTACACTATTAATTTGTGCATTCGAAAATGCGATTTAAATGTTGTTTCACTATAATTTACAACTACTCTTTCAATATATCCTTCAATTCGTACAATTCTAGCATATTCCTCAACCTCAGAATCAGTACTACTTTCACTACTGCTCCCACTAGTTTCTGGACCTTCCAATAGATTAATAATGACTGGTAATAAATCCATAATTAACTACAAAACCAATTTTTAGGTTAGGTGTTTTTTGGTAAACAAAATGAGTGTTCCATTCAACTTCAGAATAGAGTAGTTGGGAGTGGTTCACTTAAAATCTTATAGCGTTTTCGGCTGGACGCTCTGGTGCGCACTTTTTACGCCCTCAGAGCGATTTTTATGTTCGGCTGGTGTTTTGAGTGCGCTCTTTACGAGAGTGATGCTTTCGGCTGACATTTAAGAATTAAGAGCGGTGAATTTCGCTCTTGGGGCAATTTTTCTTGCTCTGAGGTTGATAGTTAGGGCAGGCAGAGCAACTTTCTAGTTCAAAATAAAAATGGCTGATCAATTACAACAACAGTTTCAAAAGTTTAACATTTTTATGGAATTTGCCATTGAATTGTTAGAATCATCTAGCAGCGATGAAAGTGACCAGGAAATAGGGATATTAGTGGATCAGATGCATAAGCACCCAATTCCAAAAATTATCAATTATGTCGAAAATGTTGTTTCCATACTTAATGATTCACAGGTAGGTAAGTCGCACATTGATTAGTACAGTACTTTGTCCAGTATTAACAATGTTTTATTTAACAGTTCAAAAGTCACTTTCGTGTAAAACGAACAACATGCTACAGACTTGTTGAGCAGTTTGCCAGGAGTGAATTTTATCCCAGTGAACATAAAGGTGGTAGTAGTTTAATCTCGGCTGAATGCCATATTTTGAGCTTTTTGTGGTGAGTAATGAATTATACAGAATTTGTACGCAATAGAAATACAAATGTATTTTCAGGTACGCTGGAAATCATTGCACAATAAGAGAAAGTGGCGATAGATTTAATATGTCGTTATCGACCTTTAGTTCAGTTCAACGACGAGTGATGTCATTTTTATTGGATCTACTACCAACAGTCATTCGTTTTCCAAAAACAGATCTGGAGAAAGAAAGAGTAGCTGCAGAATTTGAGCAGGTAATAACTAATGCTTTTTATTAGTACCTTTGTACTTTGTTTTTCATTTGTAGATATCTGGATTTCCCAATATTTTAGGCTGCGTGGATGGTTCCTATATAAATATTAGGACGCCTGCACATAAGATAAAGTCGACATATACAAATCGTCACGACATTCCTAGCATCACACTGCAGGGAATCTGTGATGCTAAAAAAAAATTTTTAGATGTATTTACAGGACCTGCCGGAAAGCTGCATGACAGCAGAGTTTTCAAATTATCTTTCATTAGTAGCGAAATTCAAACACTATCTAACAATGGCCATTACCATTTAATTGGAGATAGTGCGTACCCAATTAGGCAGTGGTTACTTACACCGTACAGAGATTACGGAAATTTAACTCGGCAGCAAATAAAGTATAATAAAAAATTAAGTTCATCAAGAGTTAAAATTGAGAATGCGTTTGGGCTTTTAAAAGGGCGCTTTAGACAACTTGGCAGGTTAGATTTTCATAAGGTAGTAAAAATGGCACAATTTATCCTATGTTGTTGTGTACTGCATAATATTTGCATCGATTATGATGATATTTGTGAAGATATCGTCAACGCAAATGAGGAAGATAATGCTATTGGTCCAGATCGTGAACACGAAATGCGTAGATTAGGTGAACTGAAAAGACAGTATATTTGTGACCTATTAAACCACGAATAAAGTGTACCAGTTTATTTGGAAAAGGTATATAAAATGCATAAAGAAAAATCAGTAGTTTTTTTAAATTCCTATGGTTACATACTAATCAGTTTTGTTGAAAAATTTTTCGGCTAAATTGCGTAACAAGTCTAATTTTTCCTTGTGACGCCGGTTACGTCCCTCTTCTTTTTCTTTTGCAATCTCCATAAGGACTTCACTCACGGGTCTCTTTCGGCTTGGAAATGTTGGTGTTGCACTTCTTGATGATGATGGTGATTCTTCTGTTTTGTTGGCACAGTTATTTTTATCAACAATAATACACTTTCCCACACCCATCCTTACAGGTGGTTCAACAGAATCATCAATGGCAGCAATCCTTGAAAGCTCTTCTTCATATGGATTATGTTTTGGTGATTCGCCAGACGTTCGATTAGTCTTTATTATATTTTTTTTTCTTTTCAGAACGGTTTTATACCGATTTTCGCACTGCCCTGCCGTTTTTTGTATATTCAAAATATTCTTTATATCTTCAGAAATAGCTGACCACAACTGCTTTTTTTTCTTAAACTTTCTTAATGGGCCAACTAGTGGCAAGTACGTTTCGTACTTGTCAAGTAATAATTTTGTAGCTTGTTCGTCCCACATCTCTGGTTCAGGAGCACGATCTTCTTGTGGCTCCGGAGGTTGAATCCCTATTTCCAGAAAGGTTTTATTGTCAAGTGAAAAAGCCAGTGTTCGTATTTCATTAATTTCTTGCAGAGCATTATTTTCTTGCAAAACTTTGATGTAATCAGGGAGTAAGTCAGTGGGATTAGCTATTAAAAAGAAATAATCATTGCTAGCTGAGCTAATTCTGTTTACAACTTACCGGTTAAACTGTTAAATGTTACTTGGTCCAGTGATAAAGTAAATTCAACTTCGTTAATTTTTAAAAATATACAATATTTTTCCATCTTTTCCGGCGGTTAACGTGACTATATGTGAGGTTAAGTAGTATAAATTTCGCGCTCTCAAAGTTAAAGGCGTGTTCGGCTGCGATTGATTTCTCTCAGAATCGAGAGCACTCTGTGACGTCAATACGGTGCGAATTGCCCACTCGCAGTTTATTCAGCCGAAAACGCTATTAGATCATTTGAAAGGAAAGCGGCTATTGTCTAAAATCGTTTGGCAACACTGCACTGTCATGGCAGATTATGTTAGTGTTTGCCGCTATTTTTGAGTTCCATAAATTTTATCAAGGGAATAGTGATTTTGCTTAGAAGGTAAGTGCACAAGAGTGTTTATATCGTTTTTAATTCATTATAAATCCTACTTCTTGCGTTTATTTTATTTTGAGACTATGAAATTAGATAATTTTTAATGGCAATACGATTCTAACCTATAAATTGGAAAATATTTGGGGGGTCAGCTTTAGGAACAAAATAAATTGCATTGATCTAGTAGATAACACTTGGGTCATCTATAGGAGCAAACGAATAAATATATCGCTTGTCTTATCACAATTTAACTATTGCGATGTGGTCTATGGTCCTTGTCTCGATAGTCTGGATGTTCGTAGAATACAAAAAATGCAAAATTCTTGCTTGCGATTAATATTCGGCATAAAAAAACATGAGCATGTGTCTCACAAACTAACGGAAGTGAAGTGGTTGAATATGGAGCGCAGAAGACATGCTCATGCAGCTACACTATTCCATAAAATTATAATAACCAGAACACCTAACTATCTTTATAATAAAATACAGTTTAGTACGAATAACAGATTTTATAAATTAATAATTCCACCATTTCATAAAACGGAATTCTATAAAAGATCTTACAGCTACAATATAAGTAACATTTACAACAACTTATCCAACAATCTTAAAATACTAAGCTTTCGAAATTTCAAACATCAAGTGTACTCACAATAATACTATATTCTTAGTTGTTAAACAACACACGAAACATGTTTTTTTTTTATTATTATTTTCTTTTGTCGGTTTTGTTCAATCGTCATTCCCATATGTATGTTAATCATACGTTTCACATCATCATTATATAGTTAGTTTCATTCCACTTTGTTGTTTAGTTAATTAAATTGGAGGGGTTAAGTGGAAGAGCAGATGTGTGGTCATGGACCCCATCTGAACTGCGCCCCATTGGATTGTGTCAAAATTATATCTTTTCTTTTCCTTCTATTATGTTTTATATATTTTATCCACTATCCAATAAAAGACAATTTATTATTATTATTATTATTATATATACATGTCTTATTTTAATGTGTTTAACCTAATATTTGTATCTCTGTTTAAAAAATAGCTATAAATAGATAATGTCCTATAGGTGACCCCTGTGTCACCTTTACATACAATACAGATGCAATGCCTGACCCCTCAATATAATTTTTAATTCCATGGAAAAAAACATCTTAAGTACTTGTACTTAGTTTGATTATATTCGCGTCCAGTCCGAATATATTATCTTGATTTTACACACGTAGTCCGGTCCTGGCTACTCAACGTGTACCTTGTTTAAAGTAAGCTGAAAAAGAAATCGCCTCAATCGGCGACTCCCGCTGTCCCCTCCGCTAACGGTACAATATTGTTCATTCGTTCTTGGTGCACTCAACCGTGTAGACGTCGAGCTCCGAGTTTTTCGCCGCTTAGGTACAGAAACACAAAAATAAACGTGAGTATATTAACTAAAAATGTAGGTACTAAGATGGGCAAATCGAAAAGAAAGAGAAGTAGATCTCGTGATAGATCTTTAAGCAAGGAGAATAGGGAGTTGCGACGGAAATTGAGAAATCTTGAAAGAGACAGAGACCGTTCTCCGTGGGAGACGCGCTCAGGTAGTGAAACACCCGCATACCACGTCTCTAGGAGTCGAGAACGTGAAGGCCGACTTTCGCGTAAAGCGGATTCACGATTGTTACGCGTGCCCGATCTTATTTATAGTGAAGGTCGCCCTTCAAGTAAGGCGACTTCACTGTTATCATTTGAAAATAGAACCAGAAGTCGCAGTCGCAGCCCCAGCTTGCCTGTTTCTTTACACAGTCGTTACAGACGCACAAGTACAGACAGCCGTCATCGAAATGATGAGGAGTCGGGCCGTTATCTGCTTGATACGGCGTCAATGACCAGGGCAGGACCGGTTCAGGAAGAGGGGCTTGAAAATATTAAGGCGGATGACTCGCCAATTTTAATTCTCCATGAGGACGAGGAAATTTCCGAAGAGATAAGGCATATTTTGGGACCCGATCCCAATAAACAGAAAAAATGCAAGTTTAATCTCCATGTTGCCGTAGAGCCGATATGGTCACATACCTTAGCTTACGGTCTCCCTAAGGAGGAAAACGATCAACTCTTCGGAAAATATGAGTTACCGGAGAATTGTAAACTGTTATCTCCACCTAAAATTAACCCTGAAATCGGTGCTAGCATGAACACTCTTCATTCAGCCAGGGATGAGACGCATTTAAATTACCAAATACAGCTCGGTAAAGTTTTAGCTTCCCTGGGACACTCAATAAACGTTATTTTAGAAGAGGACACGAGCATCCCGAAACAGGTAAGGGAAAAAATTTTGGCAAGCACTGCAGACTCTGGACGCATGTTATGCAAAATAATAAATGAAATGTCGAATAAACGTCGTCAGTTTATCCTTCCCCTGATAAACAAACAACTTAAAAACTTGCTGGAAAATGTTCCACCCGGAGAGTTTTTGTTCGGCTCAGAGTTGAGCGAAAAAATCCAAACGTTAAAAACCCTGGAAAAAGTGGGAAGAGATATACGACCAATCCAACAGACGAACCATTCTCGCTCCCAACCCAGCTACTCAGGCGAGTTACTGAGAAGGAGGGGAGGGGGGACAGGTAAACCTCATACCATAACAAGTGGCCATCAGTTAAACAGAGGACGCCCGGCTCATCAAAGGAGGGAGATGAAGTCACTAAGGGGGCGACCCTCACACTCACAAAGACCCACAGTTCACCGACGACGCTAGCGCTAAATACGTTTCTTGGCACAAGGACCCTGGGTCCTTTACAGTCGATGCTTTCACTCTAACTTGGACCCACTTTAACTTCTACGCATTCCCACCTTTTAATTTAATATCTAGAGTTTTGCAAAAAATTATTCAAGAAAAATCTGAAGGAATCCTGGTCGTTCCTCACTGGGTCTCTCAACCTTGGTACCCAGTATTCACCAAATTAATAATCGATAAGGCATTATTTTTAGAACCTTCACCTGACCTACTATTATCTCCTTCCAGGGGAGTCCACCCACTAGCCAACCAGCTTATCCTGGTGGCCGCCAAACTCTCTGGGAATCGTTTTCAAGGAGGGGTGTTCCGGAAACAACAATAGAGACCATCATTTCTTCAGTTACCCAATCCACAATCACTCAATATAGCTCTACCTACCGTTTATGGTGGAACTTTTGTACCCAAGAAAAAATTCCAATATTTGAAGCAAGAAATATAGATGTCCTTAGATTCTTACAAAAGGTCACAGACGAACATAAATACCAGTACGGCGCTGTGAACTCACACAGATCTGCTCTGAGTCTCATTTTGCCAAATGATTTAGGAACGGATCCACTAGTTAAGAGGTTTATGAAGGGAATATCTCGACTGAGACCAGCGCAACCAAGGTATACCTATACATGGGATCCGCAAAGGCTATTTTCATATCTGGAAACCCTACCGGATAATTTAAATCTACTACAGCTTTCACAGAAAGTGGTTTCTCTTTTAGCCTTAATCACGGGAGGTAGGCTTCAAACCATATCGCTTATTAGACTATCCAATATAAGGGAAGAAATGGATACAATTCAAATCAATATAACAGATCCAATCAAAACGTCAGGCGTGAACAACGAACAACCCACTTTGCATATACCGTCATTTAAGGAAAAACCATGCCTTTGTGTAGCGACAACGCTAAAAGCTTATATAGCGGCTACAAAAGACATTCGAAAGAAGGCCAGGATTTCATCTTTCTTACGGCTAAAAAACCGCACGCGACTGCTAAAAAGCAAACTTTAAGTAGGTGGGTAAAACAAATGTTGTCATCAGCGGGAATAGATACATCGGTATTTAAACCTCACTCAACGCGACACTCGTCAACGTCGGCCGCTTTGAGACGGGGAGTTTCGCTGGAAACAATTTGTAGGACAGCCGGATGGTCTGAGCATACAGCCACCTTTGCAAAATTTTATAATCGTCGCCTCACCGACAGAACTGATTTTGCGAAAGCGCTTTTAACCATGTCTCTAAACAAAGACTGATAGTTCTATTTATTTGGTTACTTACTGTTGCTTCATTTGTAGAATAGTATAAATTGAATACTTTTATTTTACGTTTTCTTAAGGTTTTCAGTATTGACATAAATGTCAAAACTTACGTTGATTACTTATTAAACTCTGCATTATCAACCTATCGTTAATTTTGCCCATTACCTGCAACCTTGAAAAACTTTGAACATCTACGTGTGTAAAATCAAGATAATATATTCGGACTGGACGCGAATATAATTAAACGATCAAACGAACTTACCTTAAGTGAAGTTCGATCGTGATTATATGAAGCGTCCAGTCCGAATATATTATCTTCCCACCCTCCCCAGGGAATTCCCTAGGGTTGCAGGTCTTTACTTTGAAGAATGAACAATATTGTACCGTTAGCGGAGGGGACAGCGGGAGTCGCCGATTGAGGCGATTTCTTTTTCAGCTTACTTTAAACAAGGTGCACGTTGAGTAGCCAGGACCGGACTACGTGTGTAAAATCAAGATAATATATTCGGACTGGACGCTTCATATAATCACGATCGAACTTCACTTAAGGTAAGTTCGTTTGATCGTTTAATTAGATATAGTCAATTTTAATTTTTCACAGATGGCCACCAAAAAAATTTTGGGGTATCCCGAAAGCTCTATGACAAATGCTCTTAGTGCAGTTAGAAGTGGTATGCCTGTTAAGACAGCATCAAAGACATTCAAGGTTCCCAAAACGACATTACTTTATAAATTTAAGGGTATTAATCCGGAATCTAGAAAAATGGGGCCTGCTACAATTTTTTTAAAAACTGAAGAGGATCTTCTTGTTACGTGGATAACATCTATGGCAAAAAGTGGGTTCCCGATTTCCAAAGACATTTTTTTATCCAGTGCTTCGAAACTACCCAAAGAGCTTAAAAAATACTTCAAAAATAACATGCCCGGTCGAAAGTGGTACGAAGGATTTTTACGTCGACATCCCGAAATAAGCCTCAGAACGCCTCAAAATTTAACCACGAGTAGAGCTTCTGTAAAAAAATACAAATTAGAAGATGGTTTATTTGAAGTCTACGAGTTTTTAGAAACTGCTGGCTTAACAACTGTCTTACAAGATCCCACTCGTATCTTTAATGCCGATGAGTCGGCGTTTTTTTAAATCCAAAAGGAAATAAAGTTTTAACATTAAGAGGTGATAAGACAGTTTATGCAACTGTAAATAGCATAATGAAGAGGAGTGTCTTACTGTACTTTTAAATGGAAATGCCGCGGGAACTTTGGCTCCACCAATGATAATTTTTCGATATAAAAGAATTCCTTCCGACCTCTCTGCTAGCGTACCAAGGCATTGGGGAATAGGAGTTTCCAAAAATGGGTGGATGATCTCAGATACTTTTTATAGTTATAAAGGGTTTACCAATAGGGACGATAGGATTTTAAACGTTTAAGGCGGCTATGTTGGATGCCAAACATTTGACATATGCTGTCAGTTGTCATCAGTAAGGCTTGCCATTTCATCATGAACAAGTTTACGTTGCCTCAACGCTTGGAAATTATCCAACAACATGCCACACAGCGAACGCTACAATGGACTTATTGCGTCAACAGTTTGGTGAATCGTTGATTTCTCAAAATGGCCCCCACAATTGGCCGCCAAGATCATGCGATTTAACACCATTGGACTTCTTTTTGTGGGGCTATGTGAAGTCAAAGGTTTATGCGAATAAACCCAAGACTCTTGACGAGCTCGAGGCCAACATTCGAGCGACCATAGCTGCCATTCCACCCGATATGATCCACCGAGTCATCGAAAATTGGTCCGATCGGATGAGCCAGTGCAAAAAGAGCCGCGGTGACCATTTGAACGATATTTTGTTTAAATCATAAATGGCATGAAATACAGCATCTAATAAAACCAATCAAACCTAAATTTGACCAAATTGACTGTGTTTTATTTCAATTAAAAATCCTATCGCTCTTATTGGTAAACCCGTTATAGCAAACGTCTTTTATCCTTGGGCTAGAGAAAATATTTCATTTCCCATAATATTTTTCGTAGACGGACATTCCTCACACTTATCGTACCACCTTAGCAAATTCTGTTGAGAAAATCAAATAATTTTGGTCGCTTTGTATCCAAATGCTACACATTTGTTACAACCAATGGATGTAGCAGTGTTTCGTACTTTGAAGTCTGGATGGAAAGAGCAAGTCAGCGCATGGAGGCTTCAAAATCAACTTGAACCATTAAGACGACGAGATTTTGCTCCCCTATTAGATGCTGCTATTAAAGATCGGGTAACTCCAAAGATCCTTCAAAATGGATTTAAGAAATGTGGACTCTTTCCATGGGATGCCGAAGTAATGAGCAATTTTTTTCCAGAAAATGATGATCGATCTAATTCACCGAAACAATCTGAAGACATCGTGCAGACGGATAATATAGACAGACTTGCATTTATGGAATCTTTTATAGACCAAGAAACACTTAATAGTTTTCAAGAGCACCTACCTGGAAGAACAGTGGAGTGGTCGAATAGAAGATAAATCGTTGTTTGAAATTTGGAAGAAAATGAAACAAGGTTGCGGATTAGTTAAAAAAACTATTGAAAACATGATAGAAGAGGCAGAAATTGTTTTTGAAGACGACATTAATTTTGAACTAATAAATGAAAATAATATTAGAAATCCTGTTTGCAATAATGAAACAATTGATAGTACCATCTTAACTGCTGAAAACCCAAATATCACTACCATAACACACCCATTCCCGTCTAAAATAACTTCACCTTCACTTTGCCCTGATGCTGATAATGACAACGTTCAGCTGCACGATTCTTTTAAAAATACCTCCCAACAACCCGAACTGAATGTAAATCAACCACCACTGGATTCCAAAAATAAAATTAATATTTTAGATGTACAAATTATAACGCCTATAAAACCCAACCTGACATTGTTAGAATATCGATCGCCAATGAAGTGTTCCGAGAAATTAGACAACACCAAAACTGGACCAATAGTTCCCAGTCCTTTTAAGCGAGCGCTTTTCTGGCCCGAGTCAACACCCGCGACAGATAAGAAAACTAAAGAAAAAATACCCAGTGTTGTAACAAGTCAAATGTGGCAGGAATATAGCAAGAAAAAAAGTGAGAAAAAAGCCAAAATGGAAGCTGATAAACTAGAACGAAAAAGAAAACTAGAGGCTAAGAAAAAAGACAATAATGTAGAATTTTGAGTAACGCAATGTTAAAATGTAATGTCTTTATTTAATTTTTAATGCACGACAGCACAACACAATAATCTTCCTCCATCTTCTTTACATCAACTACTTACTGCTTAACTACGCATGTCAACTCGCCATAGGCGTACGTATGTTTCAACACCCCCCTTCAAATGTATGTTCCTAAGTTTACTTAAACAAAAATTTGCTATTTGAACACTAGACAATACAGACACAAAAAAAATTATTGTTCCTTTAGTACAAAACAAAGAATTTCTAATACTAACATGCTTATCATAAGACAAGGCCTTGGTGAAAATATGTGCAATATTTTTATTGGATTGAACATATTGAATATTAATATTTCCGCTATTCACCAGGTCCTTTATGAAATGATACTTGACATCGTAATGCTTAGACCTACGACCATTTTCATTCGATTTTGCGATTGAAATTGCACCTTGATTATCCATGTACAATACAGGGATAGGTTTACAGTTTGTCAATTCTTCACATAATTTAATAAAAGATAGTAATTCAGTTGCTGCAACCGTAGCAGCTATATACTCTGCTTCGGTAGAACTTAATGCAACAGTTTTTTGTTTTCGAGATATCCAAGAAATAGGGTTATTACAAAAATATACAATAACTCCTGACTCAAAAATGAAACCGAAAACTTAATATCAGGTCTTACTACCCAATGCTATATACATTAGACTACCTATTATCTCTCTATACGGAATATGATGTGCAATATTTTCCGTTTCATTACTAGCAATAAAACTTACTTCCATCGGAGTTCTTACACCTTTACAATCTAACATGTTAAATTTTGAAATTACTTTATCGATTAAACGTGTTTGTGATAATTCAATCTTGTTTCCACTCCTTTCAATTTGCATCCCTAAAAATTCATTTACCTGACCAAGACATTTGATATCAAATTCTTGTACCAAAAAGGATTCGATTTGCAGTATGTCGTTGGAAGTACAAGTACCTGTAATTATAATATCGTCAACATAAATTAAGAGAATTAAATGTGGTTTGAAATAAATGCACAAATAACTTGTCGAACGTTTAAAACCTAAATTTATCAAAAAATGGTTCACTCGTTCATTCCAGCACTTAGGAGACTCTTTAAGACCATATAACGGCTTGTTTAATTTTAATACACAATTTTTATGGTAACCTTCCGGACTTTTAATGTACACATCACTTATAAACTTCCATGTAGAAATGCAGTTGGCACGTCCAGTTGCTTGATTTCCCAACAATTTTGAAGTGCGATCGACAATATCATTCTCAAACTAGATAACCTTGCAACGGGCGCCTATAACGATGGAACCTCGGATGGAACATTTTCTTGATAACCTTTCGCCACTAGTCTCGCCTTTCTCAGTCCATTATCCTTCGTTTTAAAAATCCACTTCGTTTCTATCGGCCTTACATTGTTTGGTAGTTCTGCTTCACTCCACGTATCCATTTCTTTATGTGATCTCAGCTCGGTCTCAATTGCTTTTTCCCACGTGATATCTTCGACAGCATCATTGTAACTTGTTGGATCTGATTCACTCAATAAACAAAACGACTAAACGCATTTCTTTTGCTCGTGGCTCCAGTTTACCATCCCTCTGTATTTTGCATGCAAATGCTTTGCATCCGAACACTTTCAATTTACTTAAGTCTGTTTTTCCGTAATATATTTGCGTAGGTACTTGACCACCTAAAGCTCGTGTAGGACATCTATTTAGCATGTAAACGGCACTTCGGACAGCTTCTCCCCAAAGATACTTTGGTAAATTGGTATCTATAAACATCGATCTTACTTTATCTAGAATCGTCCGATTAAACCTCTCTGCAACACCGCATTGTTGTGGCGTATAACTTGCCGCAAATTCGTGAATTATTCCACAGTCTTCCAAAAAACTTTCCAATTTCTTTGACGTTAATTCTCCACCATTATCGGTTCTAAGCTTTGAAACATGAATGTCGTTATTTTGCAAATACTTCACATGATTTATTAACTTGTCAGCAGCTTCCGATTTATTCATTAATAAGTACACGACTGAAAAATGTGAGAAGTCGTCTATTATTGATAAGTAATAACGCTCACCGTTTAATGTGGGTGTCTCGGTGGGTGTATTTACGGGTCCCCAAACGTCACTGTACAACAGTTCGCCAATTCTTTTTGATTTCGGTGATGTAACACTTTGGAAGGGTAGTCGGGTAGCTTTTCCCTTGATGCAGGACTCGCACACTTCTTCACTATATGGCAATTTTAATAATTGTAGCCCTCTGCTGTTTATGTGCCCTAACCTCAAATGCCAAAGATTATTTTTAACAGCTGATATAAAACTACTCTCTGTTCCAGTGGTTTAAAGTGGACCATAAATAAACTGTTCTGTAACTTGCACACAATGTTTTTGTTTTTAACAACGATTTTAGCATACCCACTATCAAATATAACTTTAAATCCCGCCTTATTAATTTTTTGTACTGATAATAAATTATAAGGTAATTGTTCCACTACTAACACTTCAATAGCAATTGATATTTTAGAACCAACGCTTTTTACTTTTAAAGTTCCTTTTTGATTGGCTTGCATCACTGTTCCATTTGCAATCTTGATTTTCACAGGCTCAATCTGTGTTACTGACTGTAAATGTTTTTTCACTAATCCACCGACCAAATGAGTGGTAGCTCCCGAGTCCAAAACGAACCTTATACCATCATCGTCTACTGATTGCATTAACACTTCACTATAGACAACGCAATGAAAGATATTTCCTCTGAATTCTCTTGTCGTGTCTCTTGTGTAGCTAATGTGGCATTAACTACTTGTCCACGTGCGCCTCTTCTAAATCTTGATCTTCCATGGTACGAACCTCTACTATAATTTCCTCTTGATGTCTGAACTCTTTTGGGGCAACTATTTTTAAAATGTTCTTGACCACCACAAGAATAACAAATTTGATTTACGGTGGCAAACGAACACTCTTTTCTTTCACTTCCACCAGAATTTTTTAACTTTAACTCCGCATCCAGCAATTTCGATTTGACAAAGTCTAACTTTAAATATGACGTTGTGGTTTCCAACACGGTAATGACTGTATTATTAAGTTTCTGTCATTGTGAGTAACAGAGGTGGCACACCTTAGCCGCTTTCCTTTCAACTGATCAGAGCTGATCGAGTAACTCTGAAGAGCTCCGGTGTGTTCCATTACCACAGATCATTTTGATCTGGTTCATGTTTCCCTCTTCCCCTCATGCACGACCTTTTTCGCGGGAGCATTAGAGTAGATCAGTAAACATAACCTTAGTTCTTTATTTACATCTTTGCTTAAAATATTTTGCTTGGGTAATATCACGAAACAATAATGGAATTAATCCTAGAGGAAGACGACGTACAATATAAATTATGTGTATCAGAAACTGATTACAATCGTGCAATGACAGGTTTATATAACTATTTCTATGTAATCAAATTTTGCTAATTACTATATTTTATAGATCATGCATTTGCACAAAGTCTATTATTTCACGCAAAAGTTACCGGTAGTTCTATTAGTACAGTTGCCTCAAATCAAAGTCGTGTAGAGAACTTGGAACCGGCATCGGACAATTTGGAACAGTACTTGGAAAACGACCGTCACAGCTGGTCGCATGACGAGACGTTGTGTCTTATTAAGTCAATGGAAGTGCACATTGAGGATGAAAACCATCCTAAAAAAAGGAAATTCATTTTCGAAAATGTTGCAAATGATCTGATAAGCAATGGCTTTCAGGTGAACGCTACCGTGTGCCACAATAAGTGGAAAAACTTAATGCGATCTTATAAAACTGCAAAAGATAACATGCTAAAAACCGGAAGAGGACCAACTAGATTTTTATTTTTTTCTGAAATGGATGGGGTTCTAGGTGAAAAACCATCGAGCAGTGCGACACATACATTAGAATCTAATAACTTACAAAATTTACCCGACACATTGCCACCTCCCGAGATGTCTGCAATGTCCTCTCCGTCATCATCACGGTCATCAACACCCACACTGACACGAAGTAAAGAAAAAAAAGGAAGCATTCTACAAATAAAAAAAGAGGAATTTAGGAGAAAACATGAAAGACATAAGGAAAAAATGAGACTTCTTGAGATAAGGAACAAAGTTGAGGAACAGAAAGTGAATCTCTTACAAGAAATTTTAAATAAGTTAAACTCATAAATAGTTGTAATTATGTTGTTTCAATATGAATAGTAATTTCGTTTTTTAAATTATGTAATATTACATTGGGAATATGTTATATGTTACTATAAATATTTGTTTATTTCATGAAATAAAAAATAAAACATATAATCTGATTACGAAAACATTTCTTCAAATATTTGTTCTCTCCGATGCCTGGTTACGTTTTTTACATCTGACTGCAATGGTATTTCACTATTAACATCACTACTTATGTCATAAGGTTCTATTACTGTATTATCATGTTTGCTTTCACAAATATTGTGAAGCACACAACAAGCCATCATAATTTTCACACAGATATTGATATTTAAGTTCTCTAAATGTTGTAGCCTGCGGAACCTCCCCTTCAAAAGTCCAAACACATGTTCAACAATAATGCGTGTCGATGAATGTTTAAAATTAAACACTTTTTGATTGTTACTTAGGGCACCGTTGTCCTTAAATGGAGGTACTAACCAACTCAGAGATGGATATGCTGAATCACCCAGTAAGTATTTATTGCCAAAGAAATTAACATTATTTTCGGCTTTAGAATACAGTGAGGACCTCCTTAACAACCGAGCATCATGCAGAGATCCCGGCTCTCCACAATACACGTCAATAAATTGCCTGAAGCTATTGACAGTTCCTTGTATTAGCAAACTAAAGTATCCTTTTTTATTGATGTATGAGTCTTGATCATTTTTTGGCCTCCGAATTCTCACATGACATCCATCAATTGCTCCAATTACATTTTGACTGCCAAATTTGGTGGCGAAAGCTTTAGATATAACTTCTGTTTCCTCCTGCGTTGGCCACTTAATGTACTCAGTACGTAGAGACAGTATACAATTTAATACCCTTTCAATTACACGGTGAGCAGAGCTCAGTGACACATCAAAACGATCAGAAACCTGCCTAAATGATTCCGTGTTTCCAAGGTACCATAATGTCATAAGCATGGCCTTTTCACTTGATATTTTCATTTTTCCGTGTTCATGAACAGGGATGAAACCACTGTTTTCCAGTCTACTAGCTAACTGGTACACTATTAATTTGTGCATTCGAAAATGCGATTTAAATGTTGTTTCACTATAATTTACAACTACTCTTTCAATATATCCTTCAATTCGTACAATTCTAGCATATTCCTCAACCTCAGAAGCAGTACTACTTTCACTACTGCTCCCACTAGTTTCTGGACCTTCCAATAGATTAATAATGACTGGTAATAAATCCATAATTAACTACAAAACCAATTTTTAGGTTAGGTGTTTTTTGGTAAACAAAATGAGTGTTCCATTCAACTTCAGAATAGAGTAGTTGGGAGTGGTTCACTTAAAATCTTAGATCATTTGAAAGGAAAGCGGCTAATATCAGCTGTTTTCTGTGGTTGTTGTATGGGAACAGAATAAACTTAACTGATTTTAAAAGAAAATGAACATTTCCGATTGAAAATCTGCCTTAAAGCAGTTAGGTGCCAAAACATCTGGATCGAAGCAGCAGTTGGAAAAGCGGTAAGTGTTGTTATATTCTGAATAAAGATTTTTTTAATTTCCTAACCTATTATTCTACTTTTAGATTAAGTACATGGAAAGAACATGGACTTGAGAAAACCTTATTCGAAGTAGATTTAATGAAATGTGTACCGAGCGAGGAATTCCCAACGAGTGCTTTGTTTAAACCGTTGAACACTTATTCCGGAACTGCATTGATAAGCTACGATGCAATTCATAAATGGTTTTCGGATCGACGAGCGCTTAAAGGAATGCAGAAAGGCCGCATATTAGCGATCAAGTTATTCATTAAATATAGTAAAACATATATTGATGGGAACAAGTATTATTTACAATGTAAGTGCTGTGTGGAACAAAGGAAAACTTTCGAATACAATGTCAAAATAAAAGTTGTACAACATCAGTCGACATTTGAAATTGCTCAGTGTCAGTGTACATGCCCTGCTGGAACGGGATGGTCGGCGGCATGCAAACATATTGGTGCATTCTGCTTTTCGTTGGAATACTTTTCGATTTCAGGTAAATTACGACACATTTGTAATGGATAAGGAAGCATTAAAAAGTTCATTTTAGGAAACACACAAGAATATGTCTCTTGCACTTCACAACCGATGGAATGGAACAAACCAATTGTCGGCAGGGGTATTGATGTAATGTCAATCTTTGAAATAACAGGGCGGCAAAGAAACAGTTATACTATTCGTGAATCTGACCCTTTAGTGAATAATTTAATTAATAACAATATTAGTTGTCCCCTGACAAATAAACGAAAAGCAAATTTGGAAGGTTACACAAATGATCATTTCGGATTAGTACATATGGGTAGGTATTTAATTAATATTTTCAAATATGTTTACAGGAGAATTTATTAAATATAAGCAAACTTTTTGAAGGAATATGTGATGCCCTCATCATAGAATAATTCGAGGGGTTTTCCTCCCTAAAAAATGATGTATACAGATTCAAATGGAGGTTAGCCCCTCGGAATAATATTTGGTTTTGCCTTTTGCATTTGCTAATTTATGGTTAAGTAACGCAGGTGCAAAATCCACCGAAGATGATCAACAGACTTCACCTACTGCATCTGTAAAAGCCTTGCCTGCATCAAATACTGACACATACGACTTTTCTTTTATAAATGCATTAAAACAACGACTGTATTCCAATTTACAATTGCAAGTACCGCTGCCGCTAGTAAACTTGACACAGTCTGAAGCAATATATTATAAAGAAAATGTTGTTGTGTCTGTAGACGGTGCGTTAGATATAGCTATGGCTACTGTCCACCAAAACAATACCTTATGGAGAATGCATCGAAAGCGACGTATAACAGCAAGTAGATGTTACGAATTATTTACTTACTGTAACAATGCAAACCCTAACTGGCCAAGGAAGATAGATAGTTTGATTAATTCTACATTTACAGGAAATGCAGCTACTGATTATGGTAACAGTTGTGAATCCCTTGCTAGACAAGTGTATCAATGCCAATATGGGCAAGTGCATTCCACAGGATTGCTAATTAATCCCTCCATTCCTTGGCTTGGATTTAGTCCTGATGGCCTAAAAATGCACAGCGGAGTTATTTATAAACTAATTGAGATAAAATGCCCTGTTCTGGGGAAGACCTCTGGTGTGGAAGGTTTTATATCAGAGTTACCATATCTCAAATATGACAATCAACAACTTTTCCCATATTGCCTTAATACGAATCATAAGTACTATGGTCAAGTGCAATTAGCAATGTTTTTGTTAAACATTGAATTGTGTGACTTTGTCATCTTTAGTTCTTTTGATAATAGTATATTTGTAATTGAAGTAGAAAGAGATGATGTATTCCTTCAAGCTCTAATCACAAAGTTGCATTACGTTTATTTCAGGTATTACTTAAAAATGTTATCTAGTTAATAGATTTTACCATTAATGATTTTACCGTTGGTATTGTAAATTAAGATTAGATATGTACATTATATATTTTATATTACTTAATGTTAGTGGTGTTACTTTGAATATTACAATATAGTTTAAGATGTGAAATGAGTTACATTATGATGCAAACTATTGCTTACTTCCTGTAATTAAAGTATCATGAACGATAGATGGTTTGAAGTTAATAAACATCATGCAGTTATATACAATTTCATTTGTTATATGCCATAAATGTCTTGGTATACGATCACTTAGGATTTTATTTTTTTTCCCCGCTCCTATTAAATTTTCAATAATTATTCGACGATTAGCAATGGCCCTGGTTTTAAAGATTTCTTCTTCCGTTAACTGCGCTCCTTTCTTGAATGGGGGGATATTTAAATGGACATGCTTTTCTTCCAAAAGATCTGATATGTCAAATCCTCGGTTAGCCAAAACGTAATCTGCTTCCTTCAAAAGATCAAGTATGCCCGATATATGTGATATTTTGCGATCAGTAATAGAACCCCCATACACATCTGACACAAAGGAAATTTCTCCATTTTCCGTTCCACCAATCAGTACCTTGAAAGTATTTGTTCCATAGTAACTAGAGTATGTAGCTTGTTGTATTAGAGGATCACCACTGCGTTCGATTCTAAATTCCGTACAATCCAAGACTATCGTGTACTGGCCGTGCTTACACGTTTTTAAATCCCAGAAGTTGATTTGTCTAAAGTTTGTGTATAGGTGTTTTGTCCACTTTTCTACTATGGATTTTATTATTCGAATATCTGTGTCAAAAAGGGCAGCTAACGTCGTATAATGTAAGTTCAGTCTGTATTTCATTAGCGTGATTAAGAGCTCGTCTTCATTGGTAAATAACGAATGTGTTTTTGTGTATGAATTGCCAAAATATTGACAAAAAAAAATAAACAATTTTCTGGAAAATCCCGTCATGTGTTTCATTTGAGCCTCATCTATGAAACTTGCGGATATTAATTGGGATCGCTTAAGACTAATGATCGTTTGAATTTGCGCATGATGTGTGCCACTTCTTTCCACTTCAACTTGTTCTTCTACATCTTCTGCGATAATGTCAACTATTTCATTGTCACGATTGACATTATGTTTGTCATTGTCGGTTACAATCTTTTGAGTATGCCTTGACAAATATCTTTCACTTCTTGCAGTAGAATCACGTTTCTCTAGATGATGAGAGCTCCTTGGCAAATTTTGTGATGGAATTGCACTTTTCTTAAGTATTTTCCATTGACCTGTGTTCAAAGTTTAAATAAATTGTGATAAGGAATACAAATACCACCTAAACTAGTCACAACGTAGTCATCATTTCGAAAATGTTTCTCACACACCTTTGCATGCTT